TACTAGAACGGCATCCACTTTGCTTTGGTTGTTCATGTAGTAAGCATCTCCATCTTGTATCTGAGCTATTAAAATTATCACACAATACAAGATATAAACAAAATAGTTAAATCCTAATTATGTATATAAATTATAATAGAATATGTATTTCATTATATAATTTTAAATACAGTGTTAAATTGAAATATTTGAAAATTGATATTTTTATGCAAGATTAAAAAAGACACAACTGTTTCAAATAAAGTTTTTCCAAATTCAGCCAATAAACCATCAAAAAATAATATAAATATTGGCAAACATCATTGAACAAAATGAAGGTGCTCAAGATATACAAAACCAGACATAAACAGAAAAATGCTAGGTTGCCACTTATTTACTAAAAAAGTTTGTTAACGATGATCATATAGGCTTGGTGCATTTCAGTTGATTTTAAAAATTCCGACCGCAGCGCTCGATGCGGCAGAAATCAGAAGTTTTCTCTCTGTTTCACGATTATTAATTTAATTTTTATTATTATTTAACGTCAGTTCCGATGTTAGTCGCATTAAAATAACACTAAAATCGTGGCTTTGTCATAATATTTAAGTATTTTAGTTTTTATTAGTGCAGTTATTGAAACTAAATAACACTCAGGTACGAGGTTTGTGTGATGTGGCGCTGTTTCGGGTAGTAAAAATTAAATGAAAAAGAACGAAAACTAGGCATCGCTTTGTGTTGTGACAATTTCAAATATTAATAAAATTGTCGAAAAAATGTTAACACGTAAAGGAGAGCGTAATTACGTGATTGTTGGATGCAATAACATTCAATAACTCAACTGTCCCGGATATTCAACTCTCCCGAAACAACATATTATAGCTGCACAACTTCTCACACAGATTTCATCAAAAGCAAAAATGGCTTCAAGCAGTCTGACGAAACAAGTGAGTAAACAAAGTGCCCATTACATAATCAAAAAATTAAATAAGCATATACTACTAGGATAAATTATAATTTGCAATATTAATGGTATACTTGTTTTAATCAACTAGTGCTTAATTTTTTTATAAACATCTTCTAAAATTATAATTATGTACCTTTAAAAAAATCGTTCTAACCGAAATAGCCACAGTTATATCTCTGCTAGCAAAATCGGTGCGTAAAACTATGCTAGCTACCGTAGTTGAACTCATCTAAAAAGTTGAATAATAAATTATAATACAAATTAGACCTCCTGAGGATATCAAAATATTTACTTTTTTATTTTTATTTTTCGAATTTTGTCAAATTACACTTCCTATCACTTTTAGAATGATTATATAATAAATTTTGTGTACACGCTATTTAAACCCGTGTATTTATATATGCCGATTGTTTACGATACCTATTCTCCTATGATGGCAGCACCGGCGGAGAATGCACCAAGCCTATGCCCAAGGATACTATAGAGATAAGGATAGTTCGATTCCTATCTTCCTGCACTGTCAGTTTTTTTACGTCATCTGCTGACCGAGTTGAAGTTGGCGCGAAAGATTTTAGACAGTGACAGTTATTTTTGCATTTGACGGACGAGCGCACAGTGCGTTGGAAGATAAATTTAGCGGGACAAAAGCGTTTGGTTAGAAATAAGCCAAAAAATGTGTACTGATAAGAATAAATAGTAGACATTCCAATTGATACAAAAATGCATTCTTTGTATTTCGATACATTTTTATCAACCAAATTTGGTCGTTTTCTGCTCAGCAAGGCAGAGATCATACGAAAACAAAATATTTACAAGTGCTTATACATTCCAAACCAAGCCAAATTATGTTGAAGATCGCCAAAGGTATGTACTTTTCTACTGTACGTATATTATTTGTTAAAATCCTTCTTGCCTTTGTTCTGCAGATATCAAACTTTCACTTTTTTTTCAAATATCGATGTATTGAATGATGTAGATCTTTTGAGTTACCAATAGTTACCAACACAGTTAGTCACAGTCACAGGGAGTTCAAGCTTAACAGGTGAATGCCCAAAAAGATTAATTTCAATCGGATAGTATAAAAACAAAACAACTCCATCAAAAGGCACTGAGTTTAAAAAATTGTCATAGATATTTACTATATATGAATTTACAATTACCGAGTGTTAAAATTAAAATTAAAATATCTATCTTATTTATTATTTTCAAAATAAAATATATTTTTTTAAAATAAATTATAGAGGGTGTCACAAGATTACAAATTAATTAAAAAAAACTGCTAAAGAGTTTTTTGATATCATAATTTTATGTATTTGGCAATAGTTTACAATACGGTTTTTGTGTGTCATGTACGAATAATATCATAGTTTTATTATCTTGTTTTATATATCTATATTTTTATTTTTTTATATCTATATTTATATATCTAGTCCTTTAGAATATACAGGGTTGTTCACCACATACGACACGGAGTATTGTAGCTAAACGATTAGAGTTTTCCAAATTGTAAGTTTTGGGTTCGTTGATGGACTATTAGAGCTACAATTTAAAAATATTTTTACAAGATACAGAGTGTCCCAAATAAATAAAAATATCAAAGTTGTATTTTTTAAATTATTTTTAAGGTTTGTTTTTTTTGCAGATTAAAACGAATTTTAGACGATCTAGTACAACTTTAACGCCTCTTCAAAACGACGAGTCTTCAGCCCTCGACGCTTCCATGGTGGTAATAGGTAGGCATAGATCAAGGACTGTATGCAAGTGTTCACCACATACGACACGGAGTATTGTAGCTTAAACGGCTAGATTTTTACAAATTGTAAGTTTTGGGTTCACGTTGAAGGACTATTAGAGCTACAATTTAAAAATATTTTACAAGATACAGAATGTCCCAAATAACACATATCAAAGAGTTTTATTTTTTAAATGGAACACCCTGTATATTATTGCATTTTAGTTTCTACGATTAAAATAAAGGTAAATTTGATTAAGGTTTATTACACTTAAACCTTACCGTTTTTGAAATATTTTCAATTTTACGAAATTGCAGTATAAATTTTAAGGCTTCATATCTCCGAGGATATCAAAGTTTTTAATACTAAATATTTACTGAAGTTTATTTATTGATCAGTTATTGTGTTGCAATAATAAAAATTATACTACCTTATACAGAGTGTTTAAAAATTTATTTTAAATAATTACTAGCTTTAAACGGCAATAACTTATTTACTTTAAATAGAACACCCTGTATATTTTATGAGAATCAAATGCACAATTAATTGTCATTATACTACCTTATACAGAGTGTATAAAATTTATTTTAAATAATTTCTTACCTATACCTTCAATAAGTTATTTACTTAAATAAAACACCTTGTATATTTTATGAGAATCAAATATCACCAATTTAATATTGACATATCAAATTGTATTATAACAACAAATGTACCTATACCTTCAAGTTTCGACTAGTAATATTATCGTTTTACTAAAACGATAATATTACTAGCCCATTTGTATGCTAAAAGAAAAACTATTTAAATCTTTATAAAAGAGTATACCATTAATTAAATATACCACCAATATTCCGCCCAAATACTAATTAACTACATACTTAATTGTGTTCGTTAATAAATTATTCTAAATAAATGTGGATTTGAATCAGAAATCAATATAATAATAAGTTATGAAAATGAACGTCTCTGTTGTTATAAATAAGCATTTGTCAACAAATTAAATATAATTTTGAAGGTGTTACTTTTTACCACACTGTCTAATACACATACATAATTCAGTTTTTTAGTATTTGGAGCAATTATTATTAATCAACGCAAACAGTCAATTAATGTAGTTTGAATACTGAAATCATATTAATTGGTCCTCTTTAACAAATATTTAAACAGTTTTTTTTAATTTGTTAATGAAATAAACGAACTATATCGACAATATTAGTATCTGTACTCTTTAAAAATTCTTTAAAAATCTTTAAAAATAATCTAAAATGTCAGTATTCCATGGGTATATTGATAAATGAGTTCTAAATTACAAGAAAATGCATTTTCTACGGAAACTTGAAGGGATAGGTAAAAAATGGTATAATGCAATTTGATAGACAATTAAATTGTGCATCTGATTCTCCTAAAATATACAGGGTATTCTATTTAAATTAAAGAAGTTATTGGCGTTTGAAGCTAGAAATTATTTAAAATAAATTTTTAGACACTCTGTATAAGGTAGTAAAGTTTTTATTATTGCAATACAATAACTGATCAATAAATAAATTTCAGTAAATATTTAGTATTAAAAACTTTGATATCCTCGGAGAAATGAAGCCTTAAAATTTATACTGCAATTTCACAAAATTGAAGATATTTCAAAAACGGTAAGGTTTAAGTGTAATAAACCTTAATCAAATTTACCTTTATTTTAATCGTAGAAACTAAAAATGCAATAATATATAGGGTGTTCCATTTAAAAAAATACAACTTTGATATTTTTTATTTATTTGGGACACTCTGTATCTTGTAAAAATATTTTTAAATTGTAGCTCTAATAGTCCTTCAACGAACCCAAAACTTACAATTTGTAAAAATCTAGCCGTTTAGCTACAATACTCCGTGTCGTATGTGGTGAACAACCCTGTATACAGTCCTTGGCCTATGCCTACCTATTACCACCGTATGGTGCGTCGGAACTGAAGACTCGTCGTTTTGAAGAGGCGTTAAAGTTGTACTTTCGTCTAAAATTTCGTTTTATTCCCAATCGGCATTTAAATGTTATTTGCAAAAAAACAAACCTTAAAAATAATTTTAAGGTAAAATTAGTATAATTTATAATACTGCAGCCCAGAGTAAGCTACAATTAAAATACCAGCCAAAATATGATTTTCATCATTGTCAAATTCAGTGTCATATTTTGTTTACAAGAATTCGTGTGGTTTGGAGAGGTTGGTTATTTTTTTTTTTTAAATTGCAATGATCCTCTACAAAAAAATAGTTGAGTTAAGAATAATATTCGCGGTGTATGCTTTGCGTACTATTCATTACTCAATTACTCTTGTGGCCTCGTTCATACCACATACATCCACAATAATTTAACCTACTGTAGTATTACTAGTGAAAATAATGTTTATATCATAAAAAAATAACACCGCTGTGCATTTTTTTCAAATTTATTTTGCTAATTACGTGAAAGATTTCGTGAATAGCCCCCCTGAAACTATAACCGACCACGGCAGGTAAGAATCGCCACAGGCCAATCAACTCTCGCGGAAGCTCTTCGTTACCTTGGTAACCGCTTTAATAATTTATGCTTCACAATACAAACGATTCTCAGGTGTTTTGTGCGTAGAAAAGAGCTCTTTTAAGTCAGTTTAATCGTATTATTTTATGTGAAAAAAGTGAAACTGTGTTAGTTTTATCTCGAATTTAATTTTAGGATGTATAAGGAAGTGTAAGACATGAGGACTTTACCAAAATGGATCGACAAGATTCAGGATAGCGATAAGGTTGGACAGAGGTACAGAATTTAGTTAATTGATTTATTAAATTTCTATGTATCTAATAAAGATTACTTCAAAATAACTTTCATAATTATCAAATAAATTGTAAGTGGATCCTTTAAGCAACAAAAAATAATAGTTTTGTCTGTTTTACTCATAGTATTAATTGATGCACCAGATATTACTAAGGCATAGCTTATTTTATAATATATCAACTTCTTTACTGTTTTTTATTATCTATTTTTACCTTCTCAGTTTTATTTTAATAATCAAAAAGCTAAAATAAAAAAAATATAAAAATTTGCAATATATTGTCAAAAATATTTTGTCATAAATTTCATCAAAGAATATACCTAGCTAGAAAAAGAATGGGCTCTGCCATACTGAAAAATGGTCCTACAGAAGTGGCGCCATCTATTGAGTAGGGCTTGTTTTAAATGGATCGAAGCGCGGACTTTTTAAATGAGCGTATTTATTGAATTTTACTCTAAAATAATTAAATTTGACTATTAAATCTTATTTTTTACACAAATTCAACAATACTAATAACAAGTATCGTTGTGATGTGTAAAAAATAAGATTTAACAGTATAATTTATACAATTATTAAATAAAATTAAAGCCAAACATGTGTAAATATTATTTATTATTTACAGTTTTTCTTTATAAATCAAATATTTAAACATTTTAAACAACAAGTTTTGTAAATGGAGTAGATATAAATAGGTACTTAAATGACAACTATAAAAGACTTACATTATATTTTTAGGGCCACAAATAAAAGGAATTGTCTAATTAAAACACATATTATAACAAATTATAGTTTGAAAAACGTGTTTCCACGATTTAACACAGAGTTGACACTTCTTTCTAGTTAATTATTTTATGGCTATGACAACGACAATATTTTTTGAGAATTTGACAATAGGATGACAATGGCCCTTGAAAACTATGGAAACTACAAAAAAAATTCTGATTTAACGCCATCTGGCAATAACTAGTAGCAACTTCTTAACCTAAAAATTAATTGCACTACCACCTAGCGCCTGAGGCTGGAACTATTTTATTTGAAATTTTCGTGGAAACGGTGGAACCGCTTTTGCTATTTCACTTTCCCGCCCCTGAATTTCATCAACCAAAAGACAAAACACGTTCATTACAAATGCTTTAACACTGAAAAGCTGAGGCAAATTATATAAATAAAAAAAACATTACTGTATAAACCCAAAGTACAAACCATAGACTAATGTCATGTACTAGAGATAGATTGGACACTGATATAAAACAAATGGGTCCGTCATTTAGAGCTACCTGGTGATCCGGAAGAAACTAATGGAGAGTTTTGGCATAACATAATTTTAGCATTCCGTTACTTATTAACGCTAACTAAAACGGTAACGTTATACAAGCTCAAAATTACTCCTTGTAAAATATAAAATAATAAATATAGACTTTTTTGTTGCCCATTTTATGTTTTATTAGATCATTAGAAGTGTAACATAATTAAAACAAAATTAAAATATATACATACATTTTAAACACCAACAATACAGCACATAGCGCCTATTTTTTGATTTAACAAATAAATTATATAGCAAAAATATTATAGACTACTAATTAGCTGTTACAAAAAATACTATATATTACCAATTATGTACTTACTTATTTATAATTAAACTATTTTTTTTATTTGGTTCATAAATTTATAATTTCTAAAATGTCAGAATGACTTTAATAAAAAAGTTTAGTATCTAACACGAAAATGATGATCGACTCTAAATATCAGAATGTACAAACTAATAAACACAAACTATAAACACAAATCACTGAAATCACCGAACTTTCCGATAAATCAGGAATATCTGAATTATTGATTATTTAAATAATGATCAAAATAATGATTTAAAAATAACTTGACGGATCACCAACATTTCGTCAACATGTCAACATGATGTCAACTAGACAAAAACTAGACCACAGACAATAGTCAACATAGGGACTGTCATGTCATCTTCATATATAAATTGGAAACCTGTACTTTAATGTCTTTTGCGCCGTCTGGCGATGCGGAAGAAACTAAATATGGAGTTCTATAAAATTACCATTGAGTGTCTAGGACATGGTACAAACGAAATATAAACAGAAAAATGCTAGGTTGCCACTTATTTATTAAGAAAGTTTATCAACGAAGATCATATACAGTATGATCGGATTGTCTTTTCAAAAGAAAAAACTTTTTTTTATTGACATTTTGAGAAAAATACATTCTTCTTAAAATATTTTGCTTGTTCCGAAATGGTTAATACCATTTATACTTTTTCAAATTTCCATACCGCTTTAGAGACAATTAAAAAATATATCAAAATACATTTGAAGCAAACGGTTTGTTTGCATAGTGTATCAGTGTATACCGGGTGGTGCATCAGCGTTGGAAACAAGAAATTCCATGCAAATTTTAAACTGTTCAAATATTGGCTCCCTTGTTAATTTTACAGATAAGTCGTATATAGGTTTCTTAAGGTCTGCATATGCTGAATACACATACCAAATTTCAACAATTTTGGACAAACCGATCTTAAGTAAACTAAGAATAACTGCATCTATTTTTAAATTAAAACTGACCAGGGAACAATGCAAAACCAGGCAAATATCAACATTGTATCAACAATATCAAACATTTTCCGATGCACGTCATCAATCATATCTACATTGATACTAAAGTCTATAAACCCGACTAAATGAAATTTTGGCAAAAATGTTTAAATTTGTAATATAATTTAAGATATCGAGCATCTCTTCATTTTACTTTATAGAGCAAATGATTGTACAGATATTTTATTTAGATTAAAGCTGCAAAAATTAGTTTAAACCGAATTTTATTATCGCTATGTTGGTCACATTGCGTCTTGTTCAGCAATGTTGTCCTTTATTATTTGACAATTATCCTAGTGTCAGTCATTATTTTGTATAACATCGTTTTGTTGAATCTTTGTGAGTAAATCTCGTTTTTTGCCTATTTTCATAGTCTTTTTTTTAAATTGCATTTTTAAGCACAAACAGTTCTTTTAAGAACTAAATTTTCGAGTTTTGTATTGCACTTCTTGAAACTGTGTGTTGAAAATATGCCTAAGCATTTAAACAGTCGAAGCAAAGAGCTTGTAGCTTCCCTGTTTTTTTAGGTCCTTTATTACCCTTGACTGCAGTCAGAAAATAAGTTTGATTGATAAGCACATTATACCACTTCCAAAGTTAGTTTTTATTAAATTCTGTGATTATTAGTTTGTGCAGAAATAGCACCCTCTTACTTGTTATTGCCACTTATGGCGTTGTAAGATGTACATCAATAAATAAATAACCCATAATAACTCTTAGTATAATCTTCATAATGGACTAGTTTTTGCCAATATGTAATAAGTAAAATAAGCTATAAAACAAATAAATCAATTTATCACTAAAATATGAGGGGCTCAGAGCAAACGTGGTGTAAGTCATCAAATGTGAAAAATGACAATATTGCAGGAAACTGCAGCTTGTGGCTATATTTTTTCACTGCCATAGTGGTGTAAGTCAATTTTGCCTAAATGAAAGAGCGTATTTTTTTTGTATATTTTTATAAATATCTGGTCAAACGACTATTTAAAAAAAATACATAATACCAGTTTATACTCATTGAGTAAAAAAGTTAATAATAATTTATTTTGCAACATTTTTTATATACTTGAGATGAACTTTAAAGACTTATTACAAAAAGCAGTAATTTCTGACTTAACCATTACTGCTTTGAACCCCTCATATTAGTTATTATATTAAAAATATAACGTAAAACCCTTTAAAAAATGATACAATAAATATGTTATTTGTCAATTTTAAATTAAGATTCATCTCATTAATCCATCACAATCTGGCAGCGCTGTCGCCATCGCTTGTCACTCAAAGTTGATCACGTGCATCGGAAATTGTTTTGCGATTACTATACCTTAAGCTGTCAACCTATGATTTTATGATTGGCAAATGCAATTTGTTGTGCTGTCTACACTACTACGGTATAGTGCCTACGGTAAGTGTCCCCGAAATGCATTTTTGTAATTTAAAACTGGTTCGAATAAGGCAAAAGTCTAACGCAAAGAATATACCAAAAAAGCCTACCGTTTAGAAAAGACAATTTGGCATTGACAAAATTAATGATGACGACCAGGCCCTAAACACTCAATGGTAATTTTATAGACCTACAAATTTAGTTTCTTTATTGTAAAAAATAAATAGCATTAACATAAATAAATATTACCGAAATGAACTGGCTATTTCTCACTTTTCGTATAATTTTTTTTGTATGATATTATTAAAAACTATATTACATCAACCATAAACTATTAAAATCTTCCGTTTTTCAGTATCTACGACCTATGTTTCAACCCGGACGGAACCCAACTAATCGTAGCAGGCGGCAACCATGTCCTAGTCTACGACGTTGCCGATGGTACCCTAATCCAGCACCTCAAAGGACACAAGGAGAAAGTCCACACGGTGTCCTACGCGAAAAATGGCGAAAAATTCGCTAGCGGCAGCGCCGACAAGACTGTCATCATCTGGTCAAACAAACTGGAAGGATTACTGAAGTATAGCCACAATGACTCAGTACAATGTGTAGCGTTCAATCCTCTATCGCACCAATTGGCTTCTTGTGCACTTACAGACTTCGCTTTCTGGAGTGCCGACCAAAAAGCCGTTCAAAAGCACAAGAGTGGGGCAAGGATAAACTCTTGTTCCTGGACAAATGACGGTCAGTACCTAGCTCTAGCTCTAAACAACGGTACTATATCGATTAGAAACAAACTTGGAGAAGAAAAAGGGAAAATTGAAAGACCAAATGCGCCAGCAATATGGGCGATAACTTGGAGTACATTCAAAGACGACCCTACAGACACTCTCTGTGTAACAGATTGGAATAAATCTCTGTCATTTTATACTCTAGGAGGAAAACTTGTTGGAAAAGAACGATATTTAGGCTTCAATGCGCTGAAAGCCAGATATTTTCCCAAAGGTGATTATATTTTGATTGGAGGACTGAACAAGGCTTGTAAGTTGTACACTAGAGAAGGTATAATGCTGGGAACTGTCGGGGATCAGCAGAATTCGTGGGTTTGGTGCTGTGAAGCTGACCCAAAAGGAAATATTGTGGTATGAAAACGTTTATTTTTCTATCAAAATTAAAAAGTATTGAATAAAGAGACTATTAGTCTAAAGCTTAAAGCTTAGAATAAATTAGTGATTTCAATTAGCATAGAAGTTTGTTTCGTTAATTTCAATGTAAGCATTCAAAGCGTCAAAATTAGTGGTAGGAATTTTCAATTAGTAGAAATAGCTATGAAACTTTTAACTTTTCCACTAATTATGCTTCAAAATTTGCGAGAAATATAACTTTGGCCTTTGATTATCTTCCGTCAAGAGAAATTGTGGTTAGAAATCAAAAGTTGATTCTTTTATAAGCTAAATATCAGGCTTTCTCTATGGATACAACTGACTAACGCAAGCTGTTGCTGGAAATTCTATTAATTTTAATTTTTTAAACATTTGAATAATCGTAAACTAAAAAGTATAAAGTTTAATTGAAACTACTAATTTATTCCACTAATTGCGAGGTTCTGAATGAAGCTTTATACAAAATAAGTTCAAAAACATGCTTAAAAAACATCGAAACATGAACAACTCTCGTGATTTATAATATGTACTTGTAACTATATTATGTACTAGACTACTATTGATATAAATCCATTTTTTCCTTATTTCTTAAGTAATAGTACGAGAGCTAGCAACGTCGGAAAAACAAGTATTTTAAGACGTCTGGCTCTTTGATATATCTTTTACTACGCTCTCTAGAACAGCATGCGGCCCGTCTGGCTGCCGGTAAACGTTGCGTTCCCTACTGCGCATTAAAAGAAGATCCTATATTTTTATTAGTCCTTTAAATTCTAGTATTGAATATAAATCGAACATGTCTCCATAGCGCAGTGCGTAGAGTTCCTGATAGTAAAGTATTAAATATTTGTTTTATTTTAATCACCAGAATTATTTAATACTTTACTACTCAGAATATAAACGAAAATAAAATAAAAAATTCTTTTGTCCTGACCCGGATTCGAACTCTGAATCATCGGTTCGTGGTCAAATTCAAATTCAAATCATTTATTGAGTAGTTAATTCTTACAATATAATAAAAAGACTATATACAATATATACAAAATTATAAAGTGTACAGGGTGGGTCAAATTCGACGCTTTTAAATGGAAACACCCTTTTCTATAGGAGATAGACGGAAACTAATATCGGTGTCTGGAGCTCAATTTTCATCAAAAACATGATGGTGAAAACCGCACATCAATATCTTTTACCGTTTCGGAGTTACGGGGTGTTTTTCAAAAATGTGCATTTTTAACAAATCGCTGTAACTTTTTTGCTATGGAAAATTTTGTATTTTTGTGAAAACATTTCCAAAGTACCTTTTTACGTAGAATTTAATGGTTTAAGTATATATTTTTTTAAATTAATAAAATTTAAGAATTATCAACAAAAAATTTGATTTTTTATATGGGACACCCTGTATATTTTTAGTTTATTGAAAAGAATTTAAAATTACCTTTCCAAAAATATAACACACTTGATATTTTGCTCGATTCCTCTTCGAGATAGAGAGTATATAAAAATTTGCCCGCAAAAAATTCAAGCTGTGAGCATCAATTAAAACGAAAATAATATTTATTATGAGAGATGCAAAATTTTATAACTATTTAAAATATATTTAACCAACATCAGCACATTTAAACTATATCTAATAACAATAAAAATAAATAGCAAACCAAGACATGAGATTTTGCTACAGGTGTTCGACATATCAACCGTCTTCTGTTATGGACAGACGGGGCAGTTTTTGAACATTTCTCGCAGAATTCATTAACTCACTGGGGGTGAAAGATACCCTCTCATAACTGCTAAGTATTTCTAATTCTTGTCTAGATTATACGGAATAAGGAACCTTTATTCTTCCGCAAATATATCCATAGGATTAGATCCATATACCATGTCTATTTTGTGAAAGCTATATATAAATACTTATAATACTCGTACCATCAAAAATAGAATAGTTTTAAACTTGTATGTACTATTTATTTAAATATCATTATAGACGGGTAGTCTAGCATAGATTGGTGGATGTTTTGTGGGCGTCATATTATGTCGTCTTTGTTGTGTAATGTTTGTTGTTAGAGAGGAGTTATGTATTTGTGTTGTGTAAAATTTTTGTGATAGTGTATCGATATATTCGTTCACTGTTGGTAGGCGGGTTATTTCGTGAAGACTAGTGAGGCGAATATACCGGTCACTACCCTTAATCTTACGTAACGTCTTACTTTGTAGTCTTTGAAGTCTTATATTATTAAGATATTTTAATCCAAGCTGGACAAGCTTAGGGTTGGTCGTAATATAGTCTTATATAACAGTATTTTATTTTCTACTGATATATGGGATCTGGATGAAAGAAGCGGATGAAGTTTTTGTAAAGTAGCATATCTTTGTTGTATTCTGTATGTAGTGTTTAGTATAAAGGATAGTCTTCTATCAATCTTTACACCAAGATATTTGACACAAGGTTTTGGTTGGATGACTGAACCTTCAATTGTCAGTGGTTCATGTATAATGGTGTTGCTTCTCTTATAAGAGAGTAGAAGTTGTTCTGTCTTGGTGGAATTAATTTTTATTTTCCATTTTTGAAAATAAGATATTAATCTATGTAAGTGGTATTTTAACTGTTTGTTGGCTACGTTAGCGTAGTACGACGAGGCATATATGACAGTATCGTCGGCATATTGACCTAGATTAGTGTTGGGATATCGAGGGATATCTGCGGTGTATAAGGAATATAATTGAGGAGCGATGATGGTACCCTGGGGAACGCCAGCAGCGAGTGTTTTTTCGGAAGATAAGGACGCACCTACTCTTACTCTAAATTGACGATCATCGAGATATGATTTGAGTAGGTTGACAGTGTGAAGAGGAAAATTGTGGATATATATAGGAGCTTGTAGAGTAGACCTTTATGCCACACCGCGTCAAAGGCCTTCTCCACATCGAGGAATAGAGCTATGGTAGACTGGTGTCGTTGGAATCCTGTCTGGGCATGATGTATTAGTCTTGTCGCTAGTAGGGTCGTGTTATGTCCTTGCCTAAATCCAAACTGTTCGTTAGGTATAATGTTGTTTGTACGTTCGTTTCTTAGTAGTTTGTTTAGTATCAGTCGTTCTGTCACTTTTCCCATTGTGTTCAGAAGCCTATGCCTATAACTGCTCGGATGAGTTGCCTCTTTACCATGTTTATATATTGGCACTACGGTTGCTTTCTTCCAAGGTTTTGGATAGTACTGGATTCGAATTATAGCATTCACTATATGTAGAAGTTGTACTATAGCCTTTCTCGGTAGTCTCTTTAAAAGAAGATAATTGATACCGTCCGGGCCAGGTGCCTTGTTGTTTGGAAATGTCTTTATTGCGTAAGTCAGTTGTTTAAAGTCTATTAAATTGTCTACTATTGTTTGTTGATCCATTTCCCATTTAGGGAGATGGGAAATAGTTTCGTCAATGTCACGTTGTTCGTCAGTAGTGCTTAGTCTAGACGTGTGTACTGCAGCAAAATGTTTGGCTAGCATATCGGCTTTGTTTTTGTCTAGAAAAGCTTCGCTGTTATTGTCCTGTAGTGTTGGTATTTGTTGGTAGTGTCTACTTAACGCCTTTGTCATTTTCCAGAGAGAATTGTCGCGTACCGAGAGGTCTTGCAATTTGGTTTGCCAGACTTCATTTTTGTGCTCGGCAATTCTCTGTGTAATCTGTCCTGAAAGAGCTTTGAGTTGGTCTAAGTTGTGGAGTCGTCTATGTTGTTGCCAGGCCTTTCTTAGTCGATTTCTCTCAATAATCATATCTATATTCTTTGGGTTTAATATGAACTCTTTTCCCAACAACGGCTTGAGCTTCCTGGATTAAAGTAGTAAGACGTTTTACTTCGTTGTCAATGTCGTGTGACGTCCGTATATTGTTATGTATTTGGAGTCTCTGGTTTATATAGTTTTTATAAACAGTCCAGTTTGCGTTTGTGTATGTCCATGTTAAAGTAGGAGAAGTTTGGGTATAAGTATTGTCGGTTAGTGTGAAAAGTACTGGAAGGTGGTCAGAGTTTATTTCGTCTTTAGTGGCGATTTCGATAGTTTGTGTAACGTTTTTATTCAGTGTTATGTTTTTATTCAGTTTATCGAGATAAGTAGGAGTCGGTTCGTGATCGGAGACTCTACGCACTACGCTATGGAGACATGTTCGATTTATATTCAATATTAGTATTTATAGGAATAAATTCTAAAATATAGGATCTTCTTCCGATGCGCAGTAGTGAACGCAACGGGTATCGGCAGCCAGACGGACCGCATGCTCCAGAGAGCATAGTAAAAGATATATCAAAGAGCCGAAAGTATTTTAAGACGTCTTAAAATACTTTCTCGAAAACGTTGCTAGCTCGTAGACTATAAGTATAACAATATTATGATATAAAATCATTTTAGGCTATAGGATGCGACGATGGTACAATAGCTGTCTACCAACTGGTATTCAACATGGTACATGGACTCTACAAGGAACGTTACGCTTACAGAGAAAACATGACAGACATTATCATTCAACATCTCATTACCGAGCAGAAGGTTCGAATCAAATGCAGAGATCTGATCAAGAAAATTGCTATTTATACTGACAGATTAGCCGTGAGTACAATATTTCAAACGGTTCACAGTTGTTTCCAGTCTTTCTTGTCACGTTTATCAACTATCTGATAATTTCTTCCATACTTTTATTTACATACCATTATTTTTTTCGTTATTGTCTTCCAATGAATGGTAGTTGTGTTTTAACACACCCTATTGTATTTAGGTACAACTGCCTGAAAGAGTGGTCATCTACGAACTCTACTCCAAAGACACCAGCGACATGCACTACAGAGCCAAAGAGAAGATCGCCCAAAAACTAGAATGCAGCTTGCTGGTCGTATGCAGCAATCACATCGTCATCTGCCAGGAAAAGAACCTTCAAAGCATGTTCTTCTCAGGCGATAAAGAAAAAGAATGGAACTTTACCAGCCCAATTCGGTACATTAAAAACGTTGGAGGGCCACCAAGTCGTGAAGGTCTTCTGCTAGGTTTAAAGAATGGTCAAGTCTGGGAGGTTCATTTAGATAATGTACATCCCTTGTTAAGGGTATCTGTTAATGATGGTATACGTTGCTTAGACGTTAGTCAAAGAAAAGAAAAATTAGCTGTTGTAGATGAAACAGGTCTTTGTCAAGTGTTCAAACTCAAAAACGGAGAACTATGCTATCAGGAAAACAACGCGAACAGCATTGCGTTTAACAATTATTACGAAGAAATGCTTGCCTTCAGCGGAAACAATACCCTCTCTATAAAAGTCATGGACTTTCCAGCTCACGTTCAGAAAATGACAGGCTTCGTTGTAGGACTCTCCGGCTCTAAAGTCTTCTGCCTGAACGGCTCTGCCATGTCCAGTCTCGACCTCCCCTTAAGCGCCCCCATGTACCAATTCATCGAGAAGAAAATGTACAACGACGCCTATAAAATCGCATGTCTTGGCGTCACAGACGGTGACTGGGAAGAACTAGCCCATTCAGCCCTTGAAAACATGGAATTCGAGATAGCCAGACTAGCTTTCGTAAAATTACAAGACTTCAACTACCTGGAACTAATCCAAGATGTCCAGGACCAACAGCAAAAAGGAAGCTATCCCCGAGAAGTCGTCTTGGGAGACATCTACGCGATGAAGGGAAAACTGAAGGAAGCAGCAAGGTTCTATCAGAAGTCCGGACACGAAACCAAAGCTTTAACTATGTACACCGACTTAAGAATGTTTGACGAGGCTCAGGAGTATCTGGGAAGTAAAGATAATGACGATCTAATAAGACAGAAAGCTGATTGGGCTCGAAACATCAACGAACATAAGGCAGCAGCTGATATGTACGTCTCCATAGGAGACATGGACACTGCTATTGAGATCTACACTGAAAAAGAATGGACCGATCAACTCGTGGATTTGGGAAGGCGATTAGATAAATCTGAAAAAGCTTCTCTTAGCACTATTGCGCAGCATTTGAAGAGATTGAACCAACCAGGAGCTGCAGCTGAGATATATCGAAGACTAGGAGATTCTGCAGCTGTTTTGCAACTCCATGTCGAAGCAAACGAATGGGCTCAGGCTTTTGCCCTTGTCCAAAACCAGCCCCAGTATAACGCCATAGTCTATGTACCTTACGCTCAATGGTTAGCTGAAAATGACAAGTTCGTTCAAGCCCAGAAAGCTTTCCATAAAGCTGGCAAGTCGGAGGAGGCGTTTAAAGTGTTTCAACAGCTCACACACAACGCAGTCAATGAAAGTCGATTTGATGATGCAGGTTTCTACTATTGGATAATCTCCAGACAGTATCTAGATCTAGCTAAAAAACCAGATAATAATAAAAGCGATTGGTATTTGGAAAAATTCGCCGAAAACGAAAAGCTAGCTCAGATTTACTACGCTTATAACACCGTTCATAAGTATCTGGAAGAACCGTTCACTTCATACATGCCTGAAGCTCTGTTTAATATATCGCGCTTTTTGATGTTGGAAACTCACAACAGAAAACCGCAAGGAGTGTCTCTGTTTGCCATCTATTTCACTCTAGCGAAACAAGCGAGGAAGTTAGGCGCTAACAAGCTGGCTAAACAAACTTTTGACAAAATCACCTCGTTTAGAGTGCCTCAAAAATTCCAAGAACAAGTTGAGATAGCGACCATCGCTTCCAGAGCTAGACCTTACAACGATCCGGAAGAACTACTACCAATGTGTTACAGGTGCTCTACTTATAACCCCCTTTCTTCTACATCAAACTACTGTGTTAATTGTGGACAAAACTTTATATATTCGTTCGTCAGCTTTGAGTTACTTCCTTTGGTGGAATTTCAGCTCGTAGAAGGGATATCTGACGATGAAGCTATTAGACTGATCGAAACGCCCCATGAAAGCAAAGACCAGGCTTTTGAAGAAAACATAGGAGAAACTCAACAAACCTTAGAGTTAAAAATCGAAGATGAAGATAAAGATATTGACCCTTTTATGTTTAGATTCGTGGATAAGGATGAAGATAAAGAATTCCAACCTGTTGTATTAGATAGAAAACATCTTTTAGAGCTGGATATGGAAAGTGTTTTGGTTTGCAAGTGGGGACCGCCTTTAAGGTATCAGTTTTTCAAGAATTTGTTGCCCGAGCTTCACGTGACTATATGTAATTCGTGCTTCAAGGCGTTTCATGTTGATGACTTTGAGCTACAGGTGTTGCAGAAAGGCTTTTGTCCATTCTGTAGGGTTTCACCAGACAGTATTGACGTAGATAACAATTCTTCAGATGAATTGATAGTTTAGTTGTTAGTAAGTTGTAAATAAAAGTTTATTTTAATGAAATCCGTTGTCTAAACTATCAGTCTATAATAACTAATTATTATATTTTGACTTACTTTTTCCTAGAGTAGCATCCAAAATGACTTTAAGCTCTTCCCAATCGAGCTCGCCATCTTCACCGGCCATACGAACAAACGCTGAAAATACTCTTTGAGTTTCTTTTTGTTGCTCAACCGAAGGTGCGCCGTGTATCACCTAGATGTCGTGGTAATCAGTACTTTGTTGTGACTTTTTCAGTGATATAGGGATAAGGAGAATGAGCTTCAACGAGTGCGCATCCAAAATTTTTCTTACATCATGGTGAAAGCTATGCTAGCGCTTAGGTCCGCAGGAGAGATCAATAAGTAATAATAACAGGTGCATGTATATAATATTTGGTGCATAATAAAGATTCACCGGTTCTCCATAAACGTCTAACGTACCATAGCCGTGTATCACCCTGTATCCTATAGTACTGTTTACTTTCTAAACCTCCCCCTATAAAACTAAGCTCGAACATGGCGGCTACCATGATTAGAATTACAGCGCACGTTCGTGCTCTTCTACCTACCTCTACATCTGTAGAATTTTTGGAAAACAAAAACAAAAAATGAAGATAATGATATTTATACCGGTTGGTCTTTATGGGTCTTTTTGCCTGTATCGTCAGCGGAAGGATACTTTCTTGACTGGAGGGAAATATGAAAAAGGGATCATGAATAACTTTGATTCGTGAAAACAGGTTACAGGATGGGGACTAGCTTACATATTGAGTAGAATAAATTAATTACTTTTGTAACTCTCCGTGTTCTTTAATTATAACGAGTGTATGACTTTTTACATGTTGTGCGAAAATTTGAAAACTTAGGATGCATTCCGTTGCTTACCTTGGTTATGGTTTTATGTTCCGTTTCTATCGGTTTCTTGAAAGTTTTCTTATTACGGAACCCGGTTCCTGAAAAATTCGGTTATAACTAACCAAACTAACCAGCGTGACAAGCCTGGTTTTTCTGGTTTTGTTTGTTGTTGCAAATATTGGAAGTTCGAGTGAAATTCTCATTTAATTTCTAAAATTTGTTAAAATATTTTGTATTTACATCCAAAAGCAATGGAGGTAGGCAGTAAAGGTAAATAAATTTCTTTAACTTAATAGAATAACTTTTTAGGACCATTTAAACTTATCAGGCAGCCATTGTTTCTTAAAGTCAGGAACATTTAAAGAAAACATGAAAAAGAAGACAACAAGTAATCGTGAATGTTTTGTAAGATATAAAAATATAAATATTGATTAGATTTGTTTATTTATTATTGATCTGTTTTAATATTGGACCTGCAAACCTTCACTTGAGCTGTCTAACGAGTTTAACAGTTTATTAAGTACTTTTCAATATTAAACTCCATTGAAAAAAAGAAACAAAGGTAAAAACAGAGAATAGGTACATTAAAAATGCATAAAAGAAAAATTTTATAATAGAGGTATTGAAATTTAGAAAACGTCAACATTTGACGTTTCCAGTATTTTACCAAACCGTTCCGTATCAAGCCGATGTTTTTCAGGAACCGCTCTTTAACGTAGTTTACCGGTCTTGTTGGCCTGGTTCTGCAACAGAATACAGCCTTAATGATCGCCACGTACTTTTTTCAGCTACGTAGGTCAAAACTTCTTTTTCGTTCCGTGTCCGTAATTCCAGTATAACAACCTGAATAGTACTTTATTTTCTTCCATATTACTGTATATGAGGCGTCAAGTTGTAAAACCCGCCTTTTCCATTTAAAAAAAATGCCTAATGACATATATTATTAATAGTGGACCCTGAAATCTACATAAACATAGTCCCAAGCTGCACCAAAAGTCACCTATTATATATTAGTATCACCTATATTAAGTCCCACATTTTTTCGTAGGCTTTTTACACAAGTACCGTATGATCGAAAAAAAATGGCGTCCAGTTGGCTTGGAAATGACGATCGATGACATTTCCCATATAATTTTACATATAAAATGACAGCGATCTTCATTTCATAGCCATCGCTGACGCCGTTTTTATTCGATCATACGGTATAATATTACTACTAACGTCTTATCCATTTCAAATCCTTAAACGTTGCAAATAAAATAAAAAGATTTAAAAGTAATACGTTATATGTAATTATATATCGAGAAACTATGGTTACACTCGTTGAATTTGACACTTTTAGTCAGTTTAATAATATATTGTCGTACTTCTATGCTTAGACGTAAAAGTGCTTTACTTTTATGCCTAAGCGGTAAAATGACGTTTTTATATTGTCAATCACGTCGCAAATATTCATACTTTTGTGACGTTTGAAAACAAACTTTTTACATTTATCCGTTACTGACGTCAAAAATCACTTAAGACCAGAAGATGTAAAAAGTATTTTATATTGAATGGCAAAAAATTGATTGAATGGTCATAATTAAAGACAGAAAGTTACAAAAGTATTTCAATAATTTTACTCATATGTAGGCTAGCCCATAGCCTACATATAGTCAATAAGTCCTCTACAAAATAATAAAATCTATACAGTGAACAAGAAATAAAAACACCCGGTATGGATCTTCCTGAGAACAATATCCACCTGTATACCGGGTGCGTCTCAAAAGTGGCTCATCCCTATAACTTTTTTTTATTTTTTTTCAGATAAAAAAACGAGATTTGGTATGTTAGTATATGACATAAATTAGGATTGATCGACATATTCAATTGTCTTCGTTTCACCGGAAATGACTACAACTTTTGATTATTAAATGGCACCCTCGGTATTTTTTTACTTTATTCGATAGAAAATGACACTCTAAATAGAGTGTGTCATAGGTCAACTTTTGACATTTTCGCATATGGTTTATTTGAAATTGTAACCTGCGGTTTATAACGACAATTTAACTTGAAATACCAACTGTGTGGTAATAAATTATATTATAAATACGCTAATAAGCCACTCTCGTTCCATTTGAAAAAATTGAGATATCATTAAAAATACGATTTGGGCATCTTTTGTCCAGCCAGGACAAGACACTAAAAACATTAGACGATCCAATCTATTTTTCCAAGGCTCTTTGATTAAATATTTGTGTTTTTAACACAGCCATTATAATAGAACAGAATACCATTTTCTATCAAATAAAGTAAAAAAATACCGAGGGTGCCATTTAAAAATCAAAAGTGTTAGTAATTTCCGGCGAAACAGGAAATGACCGAAAACAATTGAATACGTCAATCAATCCTAATTTATGTCATATACTAACATACCAAATCTCGTTTTTTTTATCTGAAAAAATAAAAAAGTTATAGGGGGTGAGCCACTTTTGAGACGCACCCGGTATATCTCTAAAAGTATCATACGATTTCTTAGTAGATGATTAAAGTCCTCACTAAGCTTATAGAAGTACAATACAATCGGGACAGAAAAAACAACGGCGTCAAAGACGACTGGAAAGTGGCAATCGATGACAGTTTTGTCGAGGTCAAGCCCTAGACGTAATTTACTTGGCCTGTACTCTTCTATATATTTTAATGGCGCTTGCTGCCAATTGGTCTTAAGTAGGTTGTAATTTATTTTTATACTAAATAAAAATGATTTTAAATGATTTATTGATTGAAATTCGAGAATAAAATAATTTTTGAAAATAGATTTGTGTCTGGAAACCTTTTCTATCCTTTTTTAATCTTTCTACAATTAGTGTTAATTTTTGATGTTTTAAGTCAATTTTGGTAAATGATGTCTAGAGATTGTCATCGCCAAAATTATTATCGATTATCATTCCCTGCCTGAACTTTTTTTATCAAACGATATTTATTCTAAACACAATAAATGTAACATTATTTCAAGAGACTAATAATTTAAACTCATCTTCAAACAATACAACAATTTCTTTTATTTTTAAAGAACTTATTGACTTACCCTTGTAAAAAGAATAGAAAAAATGATAAAAGTAAAAAAATAATGAAAATTTTTCACTTACTCTGGGATCCACTTTACCATAACCAATTTTTTTGTCATGTTCCCTAAAAAATGAAAAGGAATATCAATGACAAAGAGAAAACTGTGCATAATGAAAAACGAAACGAGGAAATTAGTAAAGATTTTTCCGGGTTAAAATAATACATATCGATATTCATATATTTAAATTTATTTTCATTAGTTTTTGATAATAAATACTATGCTTATTTTAAATTAGAGTTATTAAAGTAAATATATAAAAAAACAAAAAAATCTGTACAAAAATTATTCAAGAGGCTATAGTGAAGAAAATATTATTGTGAAATTAAAGCAGTAATATCAGAAACTAAACTTATAGGAAAGCAAATAGTTTTATTATATAAAAAAGAAAAAAAAATATCATGCAAAGACTAATTACAATTTTAACTGTTGGGTGGTAATTTCAAAACCTTAACAAAAAAAAATAATGCCATTCACTGTTGAAAGGTACCATAAAATATTTAAAGATTAAAAATAAAAACAAAACACAACAAATTACAAAACACTGATTCAAATATACTAGGTGCCGTAGTAAAAAACATGTTGCACACTTTTTTTAAGTATGTTCAGTATAAAACAATCAAAAAATAAAAAAAATATAATGTTCCCACAATTAATATATTAGTTCTTATCTATTCATCAGTTTCATTATATTTAAAAGACTTGATTTTGTCTGACTTGAATTGTTAAGCATGTCGTGCAACACGTTTGCTAGTAGGTGACCCGCTTTATAATAGGCAACAACAACGAATAATATACAAATATATTGATTTTCAACAAGACGAGGAACAAAATTGATAAGCGTTAAAAAAATTCGTTAGGACTTATATTTTTAAGTACGCAGATATGGTAACCACCACCAAATTCCTTATAAAACGTTTTTTTTTTTGGGGGGACTTAACATTCAAAATAAAGCTATATAGTCATGCTGAAATTCTGCTCTTAATAAGACTTCAAAAGATTCTATTAAAAGTCTTTAAAATTTAACATTAGATTGTCTCAAAACTTTAAAACTGGATAGTTGGACAACAATACTGTTTATATTTTTTTCGAAATATTCCAGAACGCTTTAATAAAAGTATTATTTAAATAATTTCGAGAAAAAATTGATTATAGGATCTCCTTTATCCCTTCTCTGTTCGGGCTGAGGTTGAGAAGGATAACTGGGATATCCGGGATACTGCGAATACCCTGGCTGAGGATACCCACCAGGCTGAGGATATCCTGGCTGGGGATATCCTCCTGGCTGAGGATATCCTCCTGCCTGAGGATATCCTGCAGGTTGCGGATATCCTGAAGGTTGCGGATACCCTGAAGGTTGTGAATATCCTGAAGGTTGAGGATACGGATATCCTCCACCGGGTTGAGGATATCCGGGGTAACTAGGCTGAGGATACCCAGGACTACTGGGTTCTCCTCCGGTGTAAGGTGCGGAAGGTGTGTACCCGCTGTCAGGCGGAGGAGGTGGATGATACTCGGGAGGAGTGTCTTCCTCCTCATCGTCGTTATCATCGACCTCCCCTGAGTATGCGCGTGAGGGAGAAGGATCAGAAGCGTAACCGTCGTACGTCATGATGTTCTGTTTCTCGGAGAACACTCGCAGGAGGAATTCGCCTTCTTCGTTGGGGTCGAAGGTGGACGGGACGATGCAGTAGGTGCCAGGGGGCAGCTTGAAGCGGCACGAGACCTCGCGAAGGTTCACGAAGGACGGCGAACGGGCCACGGAAGCGTTGTACTTGAAGAACTGCAAATCTAGAGGTTTGGGCAAACTATCTGGATCTCGAAGCTAAAGGGAAAAAACGGACTTTATTAGACGTACTTTTTCCATGATAATTTTATGTTTAATCTTGTTTTCATAATTGAAGACATGAGTTGATAAAGGTGTCAAGTTGCATTTTTTTAAAAATCAGTTTTATTCGGTATTTCAACATCCCTTTGACAGATCTATCCTCCAATAGACTGTAAAAATATAAATACCATAAAGAATATCCTAGATGATAAAGGTGTCATGTCATGTACATCATCAATAATTTTTAGATGTGTTTTGTCGATTTACTCGAAACTAAAAAATCGACATGACACCTTTATCCACTCATGTCTTCAATAATTAAGAAATGCTACCTTTTTTAATAGAGACCTTACTTATTTCTCACAAATAAAATGTATGGGAAAATGTAGTATTAGTTTCTGCATTGAGTGTACTGTTTTTTTTACTCAGGTACGATTTCGACAGACGATGACAGAAATAAGGCAGGTGACATCCATGCCAATAAATTTATTTCACTCTTTGAATAAGAAGATGAGAAGGAAGGAGTATGAAGGCAGGCGGCCACTGGGAGCGTAACTAAACTAAGCTAAAAATATAAAAACAAATGGTAACTAAACGAAAATAAGTTTCATCGGCCACTGGGAACGATTTTCGCTCAGTAGTCAGCTAAGTTAGCTGCATTTTCGTATTGTATCCCTGCTATCATAGAACTAATCGCTGCGAAAAATTCGCTGGAACCTGTCACGAACTAAAACGAGCGAAACTAAACTACGATTTGAATCTTCGTTCATATATTTTTGTTTAGTTTCGCTCAAGTGGCCGCTGATGCATTTAAAAGTATGGGAGCTGATTTTTACAAACCTTATCTTCGCTTGGCTTAGTTTAATTTCGCTCGCAGTGGCCGCCCGCCTTTATGGTATCCATGGTCGACGGAAAGAGGTCTCTAATAGCACAGATTAGGTATCCTATAATATATATAGTATATATACAGATAAAAATCTTGTCCCTAATTCGTGGTACGAAAATTGTTTTTCGATGAGCAAACGAGTAAATTTTCTTGTGCGCAAAAATAAGTTTAAACAGCATAATAACTGGGCCGGTCAGGCGCTGTGCACAATTTTAGAGGCCATAAATGGGCGTGCTTGTGCGCAAGCTAGTAACCTATAGTGCGCGACTCCGAAAATTGGAACCACGAAAAACAATGCTTTTGACGATATGTTTATAATCTGTATAATCTGTGCTAACAGGGTGGGAATCCTTGGCAGTTCTGTTTGACGATTCATTTGACACATTTGAATTGAAATTTTGTGGATTTTTCAGTCTTGCTTCTTCTTACTGAGCTTATTTTATGTTATTTATTATTTATTCTACTACTGATAGTTGTTTAGAGGTACTGAATCTAGAAGGAAATTTTTGTAGCAGAACTTAAATTGGCATCTACTTGTGTATTTTCTTGAACCTTCTATTGAATATAAATATATTTTTCGTATTTTTGGGATTTTGGTTGTAGGTATTGTTGGTTTAATTTGAAATTATATACTGCCTTAATATAATATATTATTAGTATACTATAATATTAGTTCACGAAATCGATGCTGATTCTGATGATGCCTAACTACCATGGTACAAAGAATACAAGGTATGATATTGCGCAGTTTGGTCGCTACGTCACAGGTGATAACAGGCGCTATTGGTCAGCACGCTCCGCGCGCCAGTTCAAATCGTCAAGATATTGTAATAACACTGTTTTTTTTTTGTTTATATACCGTCATTGAATTATCGCTAAGCAAGTTACTGTGGAGCAGTGGGTAAAGAGTCAGGCTAGGAAGCGAGAGACCGGAGTTCGAATCTCGGCCGGGACATAACTTTTTTATTTAATTTTTTAAATACTGTTGTATTCTATAGTTTATTTTTGTAGTATAAAAAAAGAACTATTTATGCTGTTATTTTTTAATCTCCGGTATTAATATAAATTGATTGTTGGTACAATACCTCATTTAATATAAAATAATATTCTACTTTTTGAAATGTATCGGGCCCTAAAAATCTTGTACCTAAAAGTAATATATTTTACAGTAATATACCATATTGTAAACTATTTAATATTTCAGTCACTTAAAAAGTTAATTTGCATTGAATAATTGCCTACCATTAAAGGAAATTTGAGCTATAATCCTTGATGGGCATATTCTGGGTATGCAAATACTTCCTCTAAATTTTGGGTTGCGTTCAACCGATTTATTCTCAAAACCTGAAACATCTACATATAAAAAGAAGCACAGGTCACTAATTATAGTAAACTTCACCCTTGGAATTACTTCTATCACAATTACAATACATTCATCTGCATTAGCATTTTCTACTTTTTTCGATGGGAAACAATCAACTTCCCAACATTTTTTAAATAATGTAACAATTCCTCTTGTGGTTACTTTTCCATAGATATCCTCATCTCTGTCCTCATATGAATTCAGAGACAATGAACATGAAAATTATTTACCATAAACATCGCAAACTAAAAACCTAATAAACAATTTTATACCGAATATAGAAATAAATTTAGTATTCTTACCTATTATCGTCCAAATCCATGTTCATAGATAATTAATATTTTGGATTTTTGTCTTTTATTTTAAATATATTTTTGGAACTGCTGGTTTTAGTAACTATTAAATTAAACGAACTAAAAAGTCTTAAAAATAAACAATTCTTTACCATAACCCCATGGTACAAAGAATACAAGGTATGATATTGCGCAGGTTGGTTGCTACGTCACAGGTGATAACAGGCGCTATTGGTCAGCACGCCTCGCGCGCCAGTTCAAATCGTCAAGATATTGTTATAAACCTGTTTTTTTGTTTATATACCGTCATTGAATTATCGCTAAGCAAGTTACTGTGGAGCAGTGCATAAGGAGTCGGGCTAGGAAGCGAGAGACCGGAGTTCGAATCTCGGCCGGGACATAACTTTTTATTTATTTTTTTAAATACTGTTGTATTCTATACCTAGTTTATTTTTGTAGTATAAAAAAAAGAACTATTTATTCTGTGATTTTTAATCTCCGGTATTAATATAAATTGATTGTTGGTACAATACCTCATTTAATATAAAATAATATTCTACTTTTTGAAATGTATCGGGCCCTAATTGTACCTAAAAGTAAAATATATTTTTAGTGATATACCATATTGTAAACTATTTAATATTTCAGTCACTTAAAAAGTTAATTTGCATTGAATAATTGCCTACCATTAAAGGAAACTTGAGCTATATGGGCTTGATGGGCATCTTCCTCTAAATTTTGGGTTTCATTCAACCGATTTATTCTCAAAACCTGAAACATCTACATATAAAAAGAAGCACAGGTCACTAATTATAATAAACTTCACCCTTGGAATTAATTCTATCACATTGACAATACATTCATCTGCATTGGCATTTTCTACTGTTCGATGGGAAACAATAAACTTTCCAACATTTTTTAAATGATGTAACAATTCCTCTTGTGGTTACTTTTCCATAGATATCCTCATCTCTGTCCTCATGTGAATTCAGAGGCAATGAACATGAAAATTATTTACCATAAACATCGCAAACTAAAAACCTAATAAACAATTTTATACCGAATATAGAAATAAATTTAGTATTCTTACCTATTATCGTCCTAATCCATGTTAATAGATAATTATTATTTTTAAATATATTTTTGGAACTGCTGGTTTTAGTAATTATTAAATTAAACGAACTAAAAGTACTAAAAACCTAATAAACAATTTTATACCGAATATAGAAATAAATTTAGTATTCTTACCTATTATCGTCCAAATCCATGTTAATAGATAATTAATATTTTGGATTTTTGTCTTTTATTTTAAATATATTTTTGGAACTGCTGGTTTTAGTAACTATTAAATTAAACGAACTAAAAAGTCTTAAAAATAAACAATTCTTTACCATAACCCCAAAAAATGCAGATCTCCTGTCAACTTTCTTTATTTTTTATTTATTCCTTAATTTCCTAGTGACGTCACAGGTGGTATGCGCGAACTGAACGAAATTGGAGCCGCTATCGATCATACCTTGTTTTCTTTGTACCATGCCTAACTACAAACACACTATTGCGATTTGTCGAAAAAAAAAACTATAAAATAGATGGTTGTAAAGCGTGCGGTAGATATCGGTCAAAAATCGAGGGAAATAATGGAATAACTTTTCGATAGTAAGTGACTATATAATATACATACGTGTAGTAAACCGATCATCTATAAAATTCACTTAAAATTAACTAATTATATATTTTTTCTTGCATTTTTGCTTTTATTTACCACTTGTCAAAGATTAGATGTCAAAGAATTTAGATACGTCAATTTGACTTACCTGCTTCGGTAGCGTATCGGATGTTTGTGTTAATAAATAATTATTATAACTTATATCTATTTTTATTAGAATTATATACTTTTATCACAATTTTAATAACTACCAACATTTATTCACAACGTAAAACAAAACAACAAATTATTAAGTCTACCCCACGTCTACCCTACATCATATTTTTACATGTTTGGAATAAAATTGAAACGGCACTGATAAACCGGAATTTAAGTCGGCCATTTTTGAGTCCCGTCACGGTCGATCTCAGATTTTTGATATGCTCCTTCCTTAATCCTTTTATTCAAAGATTTCATGCTATGCGTTCCAATTGTACCAACTTATTTCTTTATAAAATAAAATAAACTACTTCGAAATTAGAATGACAGCCACATCTATCACTGTCAAGGACTTTGTTATTGGGCAAACTGTATTGTGTAATCGCAAAACATTTTCCGATGCACATCATCAATCATATTGACATTGATACTAAAGTCTCTAAACCTGACTAAATAAAATTTTGGCAAAAATGTTTAAATTTATTGTATAATTTAAGATACCGAGCTTCATTTTACTTTATAGAGCAAATGATTGTAATAGATATTTTATTTAGATTAAAGCGGCAAAAATTAGTTTAAAATGAATTTTATTATCGCTTTGTTGGTCACATTGCGCCGTTTTCAGCAAGGTTGTCGTTTATTATTTGACAATTATCCTAATGTCAGTCATTATTTTGTATAATATCGGGTTGTTGTTGAATCTTTGTGAGTAATTCTCGTTTTTTTGCCTATTTTCATAGTCTTTTTTTTAATTGTACTTTTAAGCACAAACAGTTCTTTTAAGAACTAAATTTTCGAGTTTTTGTATTGCATTTCTTGAAATTATGTGTTGAAAATATGCCGAAGCATTTAAACAGTCGAAGCTAAGAGCTTGTAGCTTCCCTGATAAACTATTTTGAACGAGAACGTGGCAATAAAGGTCCTCTATTACCCTTGACTGCAGTCAGAGAAGTAAGTTTGATTGATAAGCACATTACACCACTTTCAAAGTTATTTCTATGTTAGTTTTTATTAAATTCTGTGATTGTTAGTTTGTGCATTAATAGCACCCTCTTACTTGTTATTACACTTATGGCGTTGTAAGATGTACATCAATAAATGAATAAATAACCCATAATAACGCTTAAAATAAAAAAAATAAATAAAGAAATAAAAAAATAAAAATAATAAATCTTTTAAATCTTTGTAATGGACTAGTTTTTGCCAATATGTAATAAGTAAAATAAGCTATAAAACAAATAAATCAATTAATTACTAAAATATTAGTTATTAAATTAAAAATAAAACGTAAAAATCTTTAAAAAATGATATAATAAATATATTGTTTGTCACTTTTAAATTAAGATTCATCTCATAAATCCATCACGATCTCGCAGCGCTGTCGCCATCGCTTGTCACTCAAAGTTGATCACGTGCATCGGAAATTGTTTTGCGATTACCATACCTACTAATACTATATTATACCATACGTTTTATTTGTGAGAAAATAAATAATATCTGGCGACCCTTGCTCTAAAATATTAGTTATTAAACTAAAAATAAAGCGTAAAAATCTTTAAAAATTACATAAGAAATATATTGTTTGTCACTTTTAAATTAAGATTCGTCTCATAAATCTATCACGATCTGGCAGCGCATCGCTTGTCACTCAAAGTTGATCACGTGTATCGGAAATTGTTTTGCGATTACCATACCTACTATTACTATAGTATACCATACGATTTATTTGTGAGAAAATAAGTAATATCTGGCGACCCTAGGACCTTGCTCTAATATGTTACTTACATTGTAAATAGCAAAACCCACGGTGAGTAAATCCCCTCCGGACATTCTGATTTTTCTGCGATGTTTCTGCATCAAGGCCACTATCAACGTGCAACCTGTAGCACCGTCCTCCTCGTCTTCGTCGTCAACCTCTGTCAGCGTTATCCTGAACTGAGGGTTGTGCCAAAAGGAATCTGAAATTAATTGTTTAAACCTATAGTTAATAAATAATTTACAATTTGTTTTATATACAGGGTGGTCCGTACTGCATTCCAGAAACTTCGGCAGCATATTCTGCAGATAAAAATAAGTAAAAAAGTTCGTATAAATGTATGTCCTAAAATGCTTAAAATAACGTCAATATTTGCTGAATATTGAATTTCTGATGTCAAAAAACTCCCAGACGTCAATTTTCATTCGAATATTGACGTTACTTCAGAAATTTGGAAAAAATCGAAATAAAAATGAAATTTCTACACCCTGTATCTCCGAAACTAAACATTTTCGGACATACATTTATACGAACTTTTTTACTTATTTTTATCGGCAGAATATGCTGCCGAAGTTTCCACAATACAGTTCGAATCACTCTCTATATATTATGTTTCCTGTGAAAAAAAAGCATCGTTATTTTAATGATTTACAACTGTTGAATATATAAAATAAAAAATAACAGTTATAAGCATAACAGTGACATACCAGCGATGGTTCGTGATATAAAGTCAACCAAGCTCGTAACAGACATTAAAAAAATAACAGGTATAAAACATAGCATGCTCTCTTTGCGATGTCGGAATCGACGTGTTCCGAGTTTGACCAGACCCGTAACAGTTACTACTTCTAAAAAATAACAGATTAACATACAACATTTATTAACATTAACAGATTAAAATAACACTCATATAGTATAGTAGTACTCTTATAACAATACGCTCAGATCGAGGGTAGCGATGTTAAATAAAGTTAACCAGACTAGAGTAAGCAAATGAGTAAGTAAGCTGTTTTACTTATAACCTAAGCGCTAGCAACGTTATCGAGAGAGAATTTTAAGAAAGCTGGTTCTTTAATATATCTTTTCATATGTTTTCCTGAACAGAGTGCGCACCGTCTGGTTGCCGGTAGACGTTGCGTTCACTACTGCGCATCATATCTGTATTCAACATCATATCTGTATTCAACATGTTTTCACTACTGCGCATCACAAATTCGTCCTGTATTTCAGAAACTAAGGAGGCAAGGGCAAACATATGTGTAGCATATTTAGTTTCATAAAAAAGTAGCAAAGTAATGTGAAAATCGCATCATTGTATCTCTATTCATACACGAAAAATCCCATAAACCACACGAAAATGGGATACCCTGTACAGATGTGATGCGCAGTAGTGAACCGGGCAGTCTACCGGCAGCCAGATGGCCCGCACTTTGGCAAGGAGAGCATAGCAAAAGATTTATTAAAGAACCAACTTTCTTAAAATTTTCGTTTTCCGGACGTTGCTAGCGCCGCTTGTTCAGAGCGCTGTCGTATCAAGGGATAAAACGGACGCATGAAAATCAAGCTTTACCTGTGATTTTTTGAAAGTAGCGTTATGAAATGTCGTTAAAAACAACCCATCGCTAAGCAGAGATGCGGGTCTTGGCTATAATTTTACCTAAGAAATTTCTGCAACCTCCCGCCGTAACGCCTCTAACCCATTCGCCCTCGTACACCGATATTTCCCACTTCTTTTTCTTGCCCTCTTTCAATTCGTCCTCGGATAGAGAATCCGGGTTCAAGTTGCAAATCTCCACGCGGCTAAAATGTCTGGCAAAATCTTTGTAGGACATCCAGAATTCTCCGTCGTTGTCGAACGCCAGTCCGAGACTTGCCTTTTCAGAATCCGAGATAAATTTCCACTCTGGTGCACTGCAAAAAAAATGAAGAAACTAATAGTGATTTCAAGCGATTCATTAGTGATTTCAACAACATTTATCTAGGGTCAAATGGTGTAAAAATGAGACACGCCATATTTAGGGAAAAAATGAGACATTCAAATAAAACTACTGAAAATGTATATTCAATCAGTTTCCTTGTTAGGAACATTTAACCGTAATTGTTAACTGATCATCCCCATAATTTGGTTAATCTTTGTGTGATCAATCATGGAAAATCTGAAACTACAAAATCTATTGACTCGTTTTGAGGTTTAAAACTTTTGAGTACCAACCTTTTGTCTGGTGACATCAGTATGAAGTAGTAAGCGTTCAACCCCTGTCGTCGCGTGCACAGATAGGTTACGGTACATGTCGAAAAAGGCATGTCCGTTTAAATTAAGTCCTGTTGGTATGAGAAGCAATTTTTTTTGGAGGGGTAATAATGAGACAAATGTAGGGGTAAATATGAGACAACTTAATAGAATGCATATTTATAATTTTAGTCACAACTCAAAGATAACAAAAAGATGTCAAGAAACCAAACAAATATACAGAAAAAGATCTTAAAAAGGTTTCAAAGTTCACCAGCAGCGGAGATGTAACCTTAACGTCCGCAACCAAAGCTTTTCATATTGATCAAAACTGTAGTTACTGAGGTAAATAATGTTTTAAAGAAAGACATTGCTAAACGTTCTCCAACTTAGAAAGACATTGTTTTAAAATTACCACCATCAAATTTGCAAGGCGAGACTTCTAGGACTGCGGAGATATTTGCTCTTTCAATATTTTTTTTTAGTTCGTTAATTGATGTATATATATATATATATATTTTTTTTTTGTTTCGCTCTTTTAAAAATTAAAAACCCGTTTGCAAAAATAAGCTTTTTACGTCAAGCAGTTTAAGCAGAATCGTGGTTAATCAATTACCTAACTTTTTGGAACACCCTATAACATTTTTTAAAAAATTTTAAAATATGTAAAAAAACAAAATAAATTATGCGTGTCCAAGCGTTTTCTCGAAAGATTAACCGTTTTTTAAATAACAAATATTGTAATATATGAGGGGCGTTTTCACCCTCTTGGAATTTGAGATTCGAGAAATCCCTCCTTATCGAACCTCTACACCCTACAGTCCGTTTACCAAAAATCAGCTTTAAACGTCAAGCAGTTTAAGCAGAATCGTGATTACTCAATGGTCATATTTTATGAAACACCCTGTATAAATTTTTTAAAAATCTTAAATTATGTAAAACAACAAAATCAAATATATGTGTTTAAGAGTTTTTCCGAAAAATTCACCGGTTTTTAAATAAAAAATATTGTAATATTTGAAGGGTGGTTTCACCCCCTTAGAATTAGAGTTTCAAAAAATCCCTTCTTATCTTAGGGTGTAAAACCCAAAGTCAATCCGTTTTCTAAAAATCAGCTTTTTACGTCAAGCGCTTTAAGCAGGGTCGTGATTAATCAATGACCAGATTTTTCGAAACACCTGTATACATTTTTAAAAAATCTTAAAATATGTAAAAAACAAAATAAAATATACGTATTTAAGCGTTTTTTCGGAAACTTGACCGTTTTTTAAATAAAAAATATTGTAATATTTGAGGGGTGGTTTCACCCCCTTGGAACTGGAATTTCGAAAAATGCCTTCTTATCGAACCTCTACACCCTAGAATCAACCTGTATGCCAAAATTGAGCTTCTTACGTTGAGTGGTTTAAACAGGATCGTGATTAATCAGTGAGTCACTTAAGGATTTTATATATTAGTATAGATTCACTAACCCGTCACTCCAGGATCCATTCCATTCGTTTTCGTTGCCCCAAGGATTCCTCAACCTTAACAAAGGAATCTTTCCGGTTACGTTGGGCGTCCTGATATCCACATACTGGACCTTGGTGATACTGTAGGCGTGTCCTCTGACAAGTCCTTCGGGAGTCTCGGCTTCCACGACATTAGGATCCGGCTACAATAGTTATAATTTATTATACATTAATTGTTATAGTTATTTATGGTACTACTGTGTTATCTTACACATAAGTCACGCTGGGAAATGTTTAGCCCTCGAGACCGTAGGCCGAGAGGGCTAATTTTCTCAAGTGACTTATATGTTATAACACGCGAGTGCCATACTAAATTTTATCCAACAGCAGAACTGTTTCATGTCCAATCTTTAAAGAATAATTGATTTAAAAGGATCTACCAGTTCTACTTTCATTGTTGCGAATCAGGGCCGAGCCGCCCCACAGTGGGGTATATGACACAGATAGTTGATCGAAATTTTTTTATGTAGACCTTATATAAATTATTGCTATTTTCAATTAAAGAGGAAATAATATGAACAAAATACAGGATAATTCGTCGATTCTAAAAAAAGAAAGAAAAATCACTGTTCCAGTGTTTCCACGGTCAATGCCACTAATGCCAGTAGTAATATCGCAACTAATACTACTAATGCTACGACTGATCCGCGAGCAATGCCCATACCACTAAATTCGCTACTAATGCCAAATTGTGCTATACTGCTAATGGCACTAATGCGATCGCTTTGTACACAACAATGCCATCGCGGTTTACACCTCGCATTAGTATATCACTGATTGACAAATTAGGGAAAACCAAGAATGTTTTTCTCATTTTATCAGCAAAGTCGCAAAAAGTCGCAGTATTTTATTTTACTGTATGAAAGCCCAATGTTTACTAAGTAAAACGTATATAGACAATATGCTGAATTCTTCGAAATGCGCAACTAAATCTCTAAGTATAATAAAAATGTCACAAATTTAATCAAATTTTATGAACGCCTAACTTTTAGTTGCAAAAAAAATCGTTAGTATAGAGAATATCAAAATAAATAATACGTTTTTGTAGAATACATACCTGCAGCTTGCTGAGCCATTTTCAATCAAAACAATAATATAAACGTAAAAAGAGCACAAGAACAACAACAATTTATAATTTTAAACATAAAATTTAGCCATTTACCTCTTATCTGTGAGAAGTAACAACTTTGACGTTTCGTTGAAACGAATGAATGCAACTAAACACACCCATAGCAACGCTATTCATGGCAGACATGATTTAACTTATCATTTATCGTTTTTTTGGGAAATTTGCTTTTTCGAATTTCGATCACCTTTTGCATGCTAATACCCCACCGTGCGCCCATGTGTGCGAAGTGCGCGGCGCACACAGGCGCCGAGGCAATAGGGAATAGGCGTCGGATGAAATATAAGCGCCAATTGTTGAAACTATTTTTGTTACTCAAATCCAAAACTAACTACTAAAATTCAAAGCAAAATAAATTATATTACTCAGTAACTAGATTCCAAATTTTATTTTGAATTTATGTCAAATTTATAAATATTTTAATTCATGAAACCAATATATTATGCTGTTTTACCAATGTATCAGAAATGTATTTACATTATTCGATCAGAAGGAAAAATATGACGTTAAATGTCCAGCAGAAAAAAAAATATGTAAATACTTTTTCATTTATTTGTTCATTAGTGTATGGTGTATGGCATCTAGTACTGACAAAAGTAAATTTTGTGAGTAAAATTTTAGTCTATCGATATGAATATGTCAGTAGTTTTAGATGATCTAACAGAATTAAAGAAGTTTTTGAAAGAAATTAGAACCTACAAAAATTTTGATAAATTTTATAAATGATGCCTTGAAATTTGCCGAAAAATTAGGTGGCGATGCTGAATTTAAAACAGGTAGATGTAGAATGTACAATTTTTAGGAGGGGAGTTAATCACCGCGACCTTACAGATCTATTGTGTGTTCCCCTTTCTTGAGTTATAACGAGTTATAACTCATCATACAGTCTAAGGAATTTAACAAAAGCCAGAATCTGAGACAGCTCCACAGAGAACTTTCAGACCACTCTATAAATGATCGGAAAATATATCTTTTAAGACGAAAGATTTATTTTGTATAAAATAAATCTTTTAAAAAAAATTGTAAGAATTACAACCCAATGATGAGCCAAAGTCGATTAAGAATTAGAAACTTTCAGCAAATTATTCTTTGGATATTGAAGCTGATTTGTGTGAAGAAGTTATGTCATGATCTTTTTTCAAACGATTATTTAATTTTTATCATTCATTTTGTAATAATGTAACATGTAATATCACATCATTATTTAATTTTCAATGATGATAATTCATGACGGAAGCAAGGACAGAAAGGTTCTTTTCTAAATTAAAAATACCTAAGCTCAACAATAATCCAGGAAATGTTAGTAAATTTAGCTACAATATCTATAGAGGAGGCCATATTAGAGCAATCACGAAAATATTAAGATTAATTTCGCAAACTGTAGAATTTCAATAAAAATTTGAAAAAAAAATAGTAATGGCGAATCATGACGATAAAAAAAGAGGCGCTTCATAGGTTACGCACACAGGCGCTACCGGGGGTCGGCGCGGCCCTGTTGCGAATTAATACATTATCGGGTTGCGTTTATGTTACTATGCATTATAGATGTGCGTTTTGTTTTTTAGGGTTCCGTACCCTAAGGGTAAAAACCGAAACCCTATTACTAAGACTTCGCCGTCCGTCCGTCCGTTCGTCCGTCTGTCACAAAGGTCTATCTTATGAACCGTTATAGCTAGACAGTTGAAATTTTTACAGATAATGTATCTATGTTGCCGCTATAAGAACAAATACTAAAAACAGAATTAAATAAACGTTTATAAATAAAAAAGTACTTTCACTAAACATTATCTTTTAAGTAAGAATTTTACATAGAATCTTTCAAGTCCTCGGTAGCCGCATGGTTTAAAGCGTAAGGACTTTACGCTGCTATGACGTTGGAGCCGTAGTAAGGCAGGTACGAATCCTAGTCAAGGCGACTTCTTTTTAATCTTTTTTTTTAATATTTACATATTTATTTTTACTTTTTTGCATATTTATTATTGATTAATATAATTTTTAGTAATGTGTTTCTTCATTTTTTTAGTTACTTATACGCGCATTCAAAATTTCAGGTAAATCGGAAAAAAAGTTTATAATAATATAGTGCCTAATGTTGTAACCATTCATTATCGAAATGGTTCGGAACCCTTCGTGCGCGAGTCCGACTCGCACTTGACCAATTCACCTTCCTATTAAAATAATAAAGGACAACAATTACAATTTACAATAATAAAATTCGGTTTAAATTAATTTTTGCAGCTTTAATCTAAATAAAATATCTATTACAGTCATGTGCTCTATAAAGTAAAATGAAAAGCCGCTCGGTATCTTTTATTATACAACAAATTTAAACATTTTTGTCAAAATTTTTATTAGTACTGACATTTAGTCAGGTTTATAGACTTTATGTCAATGTCGATATGATTGATGACGTGCATCGGAAAATGTTTTGCGATTACAATAAAAAAAAACAATCTAGCTAAAAAAAAGCGAATACTCCCACTAACTGGATCAGAACCGTTCTGCTTCCCAAGTGGAAACCCACAAAGCAGAACAAAGCAGAACTGGGGAACCTGAAGGATTGCACCCTGATAACCTGGATAAATGACTATTATACCTCAATAGAGCATCCCATTAGTGACGCCCTCTCGTAAGCTTTCAGCATAATTTGAAATAGATTGGGTGGGGATGCGTTCATTTCGTACATTTCCGTGACTCCGCCTGTAAAATCCTCCATGGCTTCGCACGTGGACCCCCCCTTTAGGGCTTCGTATGACCCATGCATCCTGTTAAGAAAAAAAAAAGATTAAGCTACTATGAAAAATGAGGCAGCGCAGCGGTGGTTACTTACTTGGCATAGGCTTTTTCTAATAAGGCACTCCAAAATTCGTTTTCTTCCGTTGAGTGTAAAAATATCAGTTGTCCCCTGTAGGTGGGTAATCGGTCATCGATCACTATGTCTAGCCATTTGCCATATTGCCAGAACCTAGATACAAAATTAAAAAAAAATAAAAGGTGTGTTCTGGTGATGAGCGATATATCGGAAACTGTGATTTTATCACTGATATCAAAAAATCACGTAACGTAACTGTTACCAAAAGTCGTACAAAACGGTAACGTGATCATGACTTTTAATAACAACGTCAATCACCACTTGGGTGGGTCAAAAAAATCGACTATTTTTTTTCACTTTATACTCAACTTATAAAAAAAGGTTGGTAGACACCTCAAAAAAATTATCTTCAAGTATGAGCCCTTAATTTTAATAGGAAGGTTTTCAGTTTTCACCACCATACACCAGGTTTTCAATCACCACATTGCTTAATAAATAAATGATGCGTTTATATCGATTTGTGTCCATTAAAAACACGCAAAAGACCACTTGGCAAATTGCATATATTCTTGGATTTCGCAGCCTGTTCAACGTTCAATCATTTGAGAAAGAGATAGGCGAAATCGGCGCGGTTAGCGTTAAAGAGACGAAGATCAAAGATATGCTCGTATCGAACGTTGAACGGGTCCAAGGATTGTATATATTCCAAAGGACTGTTCGATCGCGTCAAATCGTCGCCGTCGTAGTCGCCGTGGATGCTTACGTCACGCAGGGACCAGCGCTTCACAGTGTGGCGGATGGTTATTCTAGCAGGATAAAATCTCAGAAGCAAAGTTTGGGACTTAAACTCTAAGAATGTAGCAAATGGTATAATATATAGCAATCATATAAGGTTTCAACAATTACAGCAGCATCCTTACTACCACTAGCCCTAAAGCTCATAGTACTTGCAAAATCCAATTCTTCTTTTGAATGCTCTTCAATTAACCCTTTAACGAGACTTTGTTTCGTTTTTATACTATCCAATTGAAATGAAACTTTTGGCTATTCACCTGTTAAGCTTGAATTCCCTGTGACTGTGACTACCTGTGTTGGTAACTATTGGTAACTCAAAAGATCTACATCATTCAATATATCGATATTTGAAAAAAAATGAAAGTTTGATATCTGCAGAACAAAGGCACGAAGGATTTTAACAAATAATATACGTACATAGTAGAAAAGTACATACAATGGCAATCTTCAACATAGTTTGGCTTTGGAATAAAATGTATAAATACTTGTAAATATTTTGTTTTCGTATAACCTCTGCCTTGCTGAGCAGAAAACGACCAAATTTGGTTGATAAAAATGTATCGAAATACAAAGAATATATACGACCAAAAAATAATTAAATCATTTTTATATCAATTGGAATATCTGCTATTTATTCTTATCAGTACACATTTTTTGGTTTATTTCTAACCAAACGGTTTTGTCCAGCTAGATTTATCTTCCGCCGCACTGTGCGCTCGTCCGTCAAACGCAAAAATAACTGTCACTGTCTAAAATCTTTAGCGCGAACTTCAACTCGGTCCCTAGATGACAGTTGTTGTCCCTAGACAGCAGGAATCGAACTATCCTTATCTGTATAGTATCCTTGGGACGGACGGGCCGAAGATAGAGAGTTACTTTCTACTCCGAATAAATAATGCTATTTTTTTCAAACGTCATACCTAATTTTTAAACAATTTTAAACGTTCTTAATAATATAAAATGATTTAAAAGTAATACCTGAATTTGGCATTATATTTTTAGTTTAATATTATATTTTCGTACTTTTAAGCTTAGGCGTTAAAATGACTTTTTATATTGTCAATTACGTCGCAAAAACTAATACTTTTGTGACGTTTGAAAACAAAATACTTTTTACTTTTACGTACCTAAAATGCCAGATCCCAGCATACTGTTCATAGAAATCCTGATCGTCAGGAACAATTTGCAGGAACAGTTTGTGGTACAGGGTCAAGTTGGCTGTTGCAGCCAACAGCCAACAGTCTCCCAACTCACCCTGTTGTATATCGAAGCGTGAAAAACCCTCAACGAAAAATTGAGGATTGTGGCAAATTTCCTGCAAAACACCAATAGTATTGTTAGTTTAAATCAATTTTGTGTAGAGTCGGATGCAAAAAAAACGCAACGGAAAATCTTTTCGTCAATTTTAAATTGTTATATATTGTTGCGGACCCGTGTGAACTCGACCTAACCTAACTATATGTCCCGCCCTCAGATGACCTTAACATCGCATTAAAGAATAGACACGGTTATGATTCATTCGTTCGAGAAGAATCGAGTCCCACTGGAATGGACTAGTACATACGAGAACATTCGAAATCCTTCTCTACGCACCTAACGATCTATGGACTATTCTAGTGTTCTTTACCTGTCGGTATAAAAGCCGGCGGCTGTGGCCTACAGGGGGCAGTTATAAATATACAGTTGACGCGCTAAAATTCAAAATAAATTCTTAGTTATAAATCGTTTGTAAATAGTTCTATAAGTCTTTTATCGTTATTGTTTTTGTTAATTAGTGTTAAATAAATAGTGTTTAAATAAATTGTGACTTTCTATCCACACGGAACCGACGAAAACGTAACCATTGGTGTCAAGTGTGTGGCGTGTGATAGACTAGGAAAATAAAAAAGACAGACAATGGCTCCGGAAAAATTGTTGAAAGACTTGAAAATGTCGGAATTAAAATGCGTACTGGAAGAAGAGAGGGAATGCGAAACAGATGGAAAGAAAAGCATTTTACAAGCCAGACTGAGAGACGTTTTGATTGAGGAAGGTGAGGATCCTGACACATTTTGCTTTGAGCTGGAAGGTGACCTTGACTCGTCCTTACAAAAATTAGATGACAACTTGAACAATTTGAATAGTAAAATAACTGACTTGGAAGTTAATTTAGAAGATAAAATCAGTGATAAAATGACGGAAAATTCCCAAAAATTAGAAGATAAAATTAATATTCTAGAAGGTAAGATTGCAGAAAATTCCAAAGACATACAGGCCAGCTTTAATAATAAAATACTTAATTTAGAAGAAAAGTTAACAGAAATCCAGGAATCTTCCAGGGAATTAGAAGAAAAGATTATAGAAAATTCTACAGAACTACAAGACAAAATAACACAAATTGAGGACGATGTAAATAAAAAAATCGAAATTTTAAAACAAGAAATAGAAAAGGCCAATTCACCAAAATGTCAAGAAACATCGGAGGCACCGAAACTAGTCGAAAATAAGTATATCTCAAAGTCAGTTATTAAGCCTCCACAGTTTGACGGAAAAACCGCTTGGGCCAATTATTTTTGCCAGTTTGAGGCCGTTGCGAGAGCGAACGGATGGACAATCGCTGAAAAGGCTACCGCTTTGACTGTCGCACTGCGAGGAGATGCGACTGATATTCTGCAGACATTGTCACCATCGGAACAGGGAGATTATCAGCAATTGGTACGACATTTAGAAATGAGGTACGGCCAAGCTCATTTGGAACATGTCATTCCCAGCTAAAAAATCGCATTCAAAAGTCAAATGAGTCTCTGCAGGAGTTTGAAGCCGACGTAGCCCGCCTCGTTCGCCTTGCGTACCCTGCTACGCCAGAGAATGTTATGGAGCGGTTGGCAGTACAGGCATTCTCCGACGACTTACGTGACAACGAGACAAGACAAGCACTTCTCCTAGCCCACCCAACGCACTTGGTGGATGCTTTAGCACGTGCCCTAGAATTTGAGGCCGCGAAACAAAGTTCTCGGTCTTTAGGAAGAGTACGGGCCATCGACGAATGTTCTGACGAATCCGTGGAAGGGATTATTCGGAAGATAATGGACCAGTACATGGGCAAGAAGGGACCGATTGTTGCTGGAACTGCGGACAGGTAGGACACGTGCGAAGCCTTTGTAAGGAGAAGAACGAAGAACCGGCTTCGTCGAGGTCGGAAAACTACTAAAGGTCGTAATGAAGGGGCACACGTCGACCTGTACCCAACATGCCCCAACGAAACTGCTCAAGTCGCCTCTACAACACAAATTCAACAGCATTTTTGTGGATGGTTTTGTTGATGGAGAGTTCCGGACTATGCTGTTGGATACAGGTGCGACGAAAACTATCATCAGACCGGACATTCTTAAAACATCGAAGAAGGTTAAAACAACACAATGGCGACTACGTACAGCTACAGGAAGCTCCGCTCTCATCCATGGAGAGGTAGATCTTAATTTTGTTATCGGAAGCACCTGTTTTAATCATCGAGTGTTAGTAGCAGACATCGAAGATGAACTTATTCTCGGAATGGACATCATGACCACTAGAGGTTTTGAGCTAAACCTCAAACAAGGAATTTTGAAAATAAATGAAGAAGAAGTGGTTCTGCATCGAAAATGTGAGGAGACGCTTCGCGTGGTGGTAGCAGAAGATGTTTCGATCCCTGAGCGCTGTGAGATATTTTTGGATGGTTGCCTAGAAGGTAAAATGAATAATGGGAGTATTATTCTGTTGGAGCCAAGGAACCATGACAGCGAAATAGGACGAGGGATCGCTGTTGGAAAAGCCCTGCTACGAGCGAAGAAAACTGTACCGGTGAGAGTAATGAACACGAATTATTATTCTGTATCCTTGAAGAAGGGAACCCTCTTAGGGTACTGTTGTTCGGTCTCCTCAGTCGTTCGAAGCGTGGAAGCCTCCAAAGTTTCGACTTCAAAAATTCCGGACAAAATGGTGAAGGAGTTAGTAAACGTTAAAGGATTATCTCCCGAAAATAGAAGAAAATTGAGAAACCTGATAATCAAGTATCAAGATGTGTTTGATAAAGGAGAAGCAGGACAGAGAGGTCGTACCAATTTAGTACAACACAAAATTGATACCGGAGATGCACGACCAATCAAACAAAATCCGAGAAGACTTCCGCTCGCCAAACGTGAAGAAGCTGATAAAATCCTTCGAGAAATGAAAGAAGAGGGTGTCATCGAACCATCTAACAGCCCGTGGACATCGCCGGTAGTACTAGTAAAGAAGAAAGACGGTACCACCAGGTTCTGTGTTGATTATCGGCAGCTCAATAATGTTACCAAGAAGGATAGTTATCCCCTGCCGAGGATAGACGATACTCTAGACACGCTGGCGGGGTCAACGATATTCTCTACGTTAGATCTGAAGAGTGGATATTGGCAAGTCGACATGGCGCCGAAAGACAGAGAGAAGACAGCGTTCTCGGTGGGCACCGGACTGTGGCAATTTACCGTCATGCCTTTTGGATTGTGCAACGCGCCAGCTACCTTTGAGAGACTAATGGAGTCTGTGTTAAAGGGTCTATCCTGGACTACCTGTTTAGTGTACCTGGATGACATCATAGTGGTTGGGAAATCCTTTGACGATCATCTGAAGAATTTGGAAGAAGTTTTCAAGCGACTAGGGAGCTCTGGTTTGAAACTTGGGACATGTAGTCTCCTCCCAAGGAGTTGCGGTAGATCTACAGAAGACCAAGACAGTGGAAGAGTGGCCAATACCTAAAGATAAACATGAACTACGAAGCTTTTTGGGACTATGCACATATTATCGCCGCTATGTACAGGGTTTCGCCACCATCGCAAAACCATTGACCAGACTTACCGAAGGCGAGAGGCGTTTCTCTTGGGACTCAGATTCTGACGAGGCATTCCGAAAATTGAAGAAGGACCTGACTAGTGCGCCCATACTTAGCTACCCTCTTGGCAACGGAAACTTTATATTGGATATCGACGCTAGCAATGTTGCGTTAGGCGCTATTCTGTCTCAGATCCAGGATGGTCAAGAAAAAGTCATTGGATATTTTAGTAAGACCTTGTCAAAACCGGAAAGGAACTACTGTGTAACCAGACGAGAATTACTAGCAGTAGTTAAAGCAGTGGAACACTTCTACAAGTATCTCTATGGAAGAAAGTTCTTGTTAAGAACAGACCATGCTGCTTTGAAATGGGTGTTGCAGTTTAAGAATCCTGAAGGGCAGGTAGCTAGATGGATTGAACAATTACAAGAATTTGACTTCGACACAGAACATCGAGCTGGGGCAATCCATTGGAATGCCGACGCACTTTCCAGAAGACCTTGCGCTAAGGACTGTAAGCATTGTTCCCGAGCAGAAGAGAAAGAAGTGAAACTCCTAAGAACAACTGTGGTTAATGATAGTTGGCACCCGAAGATCTTGCAAATGACCAAACCAGTGACCCAGAATTAGGTTTAGTAATTAACTGGAAAACGCAGGCCAAAGACCAACGTGGGCAGAAGTTTGCAGATATTCGCCGAACGTAAAGTCGTACTGGGCCCAGTGGAATTCCTTGGTAATAGATAACGGACTACTTCGCCGTGTGATCGAGAGACCGGAGGGACAAGAAGAGAAAAGGCAGATCGTCATTCCAAAGAAGAGGGTCCCAGAAGTCTTGGAGGAAGTTCACAATGGAACCAGCGGTGGACATCTGGGTGTTACCAAAACACTTGGCAAGCTGCGTGAACGGTTCTACTGGATGAACTTGATGTGAGGGCCTGATGTAAGAAATGTGACATTTGCGCAGCCATCAATGGGCCACAAAAGCGTGGTAAAGCCCCTATGCGCCAGTACAATGTCGGCAGTCTCTTCGAACGAATAGCGATCGACGTGGCTGGTCCTTTCCCGGAGACGAACGATGGCAACAAATACATTGTGGTAGTAATGGATTACTTCAGCAAATGGGTCGAGGCCTACGCGTTGCCAAATCAAGAAGCGTCCACCGTTGCTGATGCCCTTGTTAAAGAGTGGATTTGCAGGTTTGGTGTTCCCATGGAGCTTCATTCAGATCCGGGAAGAAACTTTGAGTCCAATCTGTTCCAAGGCGTCTGTGAAGTCCTGAACATCCGCAAGACCAGGACGACTGCTCTACATCCACAATCCGATGGGATGGTTGAACGCATGACAGAACTATCAACCGTTATCTGGCCAAAGTAGTCTCTGACCACCAAGAGACTGGAACAAATTTCTTCACCTGTTCCTGTTGGCCTACCGTTCATCCGTCCAAGAATCTAAGGGCAAACTCCAGCCAGCATCGTTATGGGACGGGAAGTGCGCCTACCCTGTGATCTGAAATTTGGTTGCCGACCGGGAGAAGAAGTCGCCGGAGAAGATTATGTCCACACACTACGTCAAAGGATGGACGACATTCATCAGAGAGTCCGCCTAAATATTCAAAGTGCTAGTGACCGAATGAAGGAACACTACGACATTCAAGCTGAGCATGGAGGATACCAACCAGGGAAGTTGGTGTGGCTATATAACCCGCAGAGACGTCGTGGGTTATCTCCGAAGCTACAATCCTCGTGGGAAGGGCCATACGAAGTCATGGATAGAATTAATGACGTCGTATACCGTATCAGAAAATTGCCAAAAGGAAAACCGAGGGTAGTCCATTTCAACCGTTTGAGCCCCTACCAAGGCGAAATAGAAGATCGTGCTGGGACCGTGAGAACCTGCAGCTTTGATCCCCCTGATTCGGAGATGTCCTTTGACGATTTCATGGCCCGATACAACAGCAGTGAGAAGGCTCGCTATGGTGTAACCAAAGAAGATCAACGAGACCTCTTTTCCGTGCCTCCTGATTATTCGCTCGCTCATTGTGTGGCTCGAGATTTGCGGATGTCCAGAGGAATCGCTGCGACGTTCAATGAGAAGTTTGGGCGTGTCGGAGAACTACGCCGACAGGATCCAGAGGTTGGAAGCGTCTTGAGGCTAACCGACAATGCACATGGTCAAGCAAGGCACATCTTCTACCTGGTCACCAAGGAATGGTCCCCGAGTAAGCCGACTTATCTCAATCTATGGAAGACCCTGATTGAACTGAGAGAAGCCCTGCTAAACAACAACATTGCACGATTAGCCATTCCGAAGCTGGCGTGTGGACTCGATGGTTTGAGTTGGCGTACAATCCGGAACATGATTGAAGTCTTGTTCAGATTTACGGGAATCGAGATCCTCGTTTGCTGCTACAACCCAAAGCTGAGATCGGGAGAGAAAACTGTAGACTGCTATTTCTACCAGACTTCGCAATGTACCAGGGGCCAGCTTTGCAAATATCTTCATTCACCGTGTACATCTCGGGACGAGCATGTGCCTAAGAAGGGGGCAGTGTTGCGGACCCGTTAACATCGCATTAAAGAATAGACACGGTTATGATTCATTCGTTCGAGAAGAATCGAGTCCCACTGGAATGGACTAGTACATACGAGAACATTCAAAATCCTTCTCTACGCACCTAACGATCTATGGACTATTCTAGGGTTCTTTACCTGTCGGTATAAAAGCCGGCGGCTGTGGCCTACAGGGGGCAGTTATAAATATACAGTTGACGCGCTAAAATTCAAAATAAATTCTTAGTTATAAATCGTTTGTAAATAGTTCTATAAGTCTTTTATCGTTATTGTTTTTGTTAATTAGTGTTAAATAAATAGTGTTTAAATAAATTGTGACTTTCTATCCACACGGAACCGACGAAAAACGTAACAATATTTTTTATTTTTAGCAACATTTTTATTTTTTAAAAATTGTATATAAATATATCACGTTCAATTCTTAAAATCAGTTATTTATAAAGTTTAGTATTTGGTCTATTATAGGTTAATCAAAGAGTTGTGTATTTAGAAATTCTATTTACGGCTTAGATGTAAGATTAATAGGGGAGCCAATATTTGGACAGTTCAAAATTTGCATGGGATTTCCTATGCAGTATACATTTCTCGAAAATAAGACGAAAAACAAAAAATATATAACACTTTCAATTTGACGAAAAAAAATCTGTTGAGTTTCTTTGCATCTGAGTCTAGTTGGTTAAGAGTTTTACGTGCGGTCTCTTCCATTCGTAGTGCCTGTCGGGCCTATGACTGAAAAAAAGGCTTGAATCCGTTGCCGGAAACTCTGGATCTTCGAATAGGGTGCCATTGGCCAAACATTCGTCTCTTAACGTGTAGAAATCCTGAGGTCTGCCCGTTCTCGCTTTAAAGCCTGATCCTCTTTCGCCAAACTGTAAAAGAAATGAAAAATCAACATATTACCACAGCTTACTCGCTAGCCAGCTAGTCAACTCCGCTAATATTTGCGTACCCGCGCTTGACTTGCGATTTTAAGCAATTTGTAGCTAAATTATTTAATTTTTAGTATCTCTTTCTAAATTAAAAGTAAAAATTTCCATCTGTCAATTATACGAGGGAAAACAAAATGTTGATATTTTGGTGAAAGTTTGAAACACTCTATGTAATATGTTAACAAAGCGAGGAATTTAAAAATCATTTTACCATGTAGAATGTAGAATGTTTAGGAGGGGAGTTAGTCACCGCGACCTTACAGATATATTGTGTTCCCCTTTCTTGAGTTTTAACGAGTTATAACTCATCATACAGTCTTAAGGCTTTAACCCTTGTATATATATTTTTAAATAAAATTATATAAGGATTCTTGCCACTTGCTAATATAGAAATTTAATTCTACGCTGTGTTTGTCATAATGCGGATCAACCTGCTCTCACTACCGGTTTCGGAGCCCTACTCCATCATCAGGTGAGCTTGGGAGATCCACAAAATGACAACCACAGCGCAGAGATAGTTAATTCCGACTTGTCGGAAAGTATCAGATATTAAGTCCCGAACGGGAGATAGCGGCCTGCGTGCAATGGTAGAACTTTCGTACCACCGAGGCGCAACTATCGATAGTAAAAGGATGGTAAAAGGCTTTTTTTCAGGCAAGCCAAATTATAAAATAGAAAACAAATTTCTTGCAGTAGTGGATCATTTTGTGGATCTCCCAAGCTCACCTGATGATGGAGTAGGGCTCCGAAACCGGTAGTGAGAGCAGATTGATCCGCATTATGACAAATACAGCGTAGAATTAAAATTCTATATTAGCAGTTAAGTGGCAAGAATCCTTATATAATTTTATTATATACCTCTACTGCAAGAAATTTGTTTTCTATTTTATAATTTGGCTTGCCTGAAAAAAAGCCTTTTACTATCGATAGTTGCGCCTCGGTGGTACGAAAGTACTACCATTGCACGCAGGCCGCTATCTCCCGTTCGGGACTTAATATCTAACCGATACTTTCCGACAAATCGGAATTAACTATCTCTGCGTTGTGGTTGTCATTTTGTGGATCTCCCAAGCTCACCTGATGATGGAGTAGGGCTCCGAAACCGGTAGTGAGAGCAGATTGAGCCGTATTATGACAAACACAGCGTAGAATTAAATTTCTATATTAGCAGTTACGTGGCAAGAATCCTTATATAATTTTATTATATACCTCTACTGCAAGAAATTTGTTTTCTATTCTATATTTTTAAAGTAGATCAACCTAAGACGTTTATGGACTAAGACTACTAGATGGCAGGACCGGTTTCCCTACAAAAAAATATTTTTTGTTACTCTGAATTTTGAAGCTACCAATAAAAACAGAGAAAATAAAAATCGATAATTTTCGGACTGTGCCAATTGGTTACTAATCGACCAGATACTTTTTGTCTATTAGATATGCTATAAAAGCTGGCAATTATACAATTCGACCATTGTAAATACCCGACAAATTCTTCAAGACCGACGAGGCCTATGCTTCTCACTGATAAGAAATAACAAATTTTTTTAGATAATTTTCGAGGTATTTTTTCTTTCTGAATGCACATTTTAAAGTATTTTATATTCTTTGTCCGCTTGATCTATAATCCTGATCGCACGTATGGAAGTTCTGTTTCTTCTAGTTTTAGAAAATGTTCTTATTTCTTTTTTCTTTGTAGTTGTAGTAAGTAATAGTAGTACTTAAATACTATTTTACTTAGTATCTAAGTAAAATTAGATTAATTTATTAAGTTTAATTATACTGTTTAGTGTAGCATGTTAGTGTAGTCTACCAAAAATAGTTTAGTAGTGTTTTTATAGTTTATTTTGTAGTTAAGTAGTAGGTGGAGGGATAATTTTGTTATTTTTTCTTTTTGTTTGATAAATTAGTAAGTTTGATAATTTGTTCAGTGTAGAATACAAGAATAAGTAGTTGTGTAGTGTTTTTAAGAGATTATATTCGTTTATTTTGTAGTTGAGTAGTAGGTGAAGGGGTATTTGGGTATTTCTTCTTTTTGTTTTTCTTGTAATAATTGTAGTAGTTCTATTAAGTATTGTGATAGATACACTATATCTTCCTTCAACTTCGTTGAAAAGTGCGTTATTATATAATCTTGGTTTTCTGGTAGCAGAATATACGAAAAAAAATCTGATCAAATTTATTTGAAATTAAATTAATCTAGTCCTTATTAATCAAATTAAACTAGTCAAATAATAATAATAGTTAGTTTCAAAATACTATACAGGGTAGGTTTCCTACGATGTTCTCTATGGGTATCTCGGAAACTCTTGGAGATAGAGAGTCGGTTAATAGGGAAAGAATTGCAGTTTTGTGGGGTCATAAATATATGCGCCTTTCGGATTTTTGAAAAAGTTTATCGCTTACTAGATATTTCGAAAAAAAACAAATTTTGGATATTTTAAAACTTGTCCCTAATTCCATTATAATCTATTTGAGACACATCACATACCTAATGAGTTTGTGTTTTCTGATTTTTTCTAAAGTTGTAATTTTTGACCATAGTTGGCCATGACTTCATAAAAATCGCCATTTTTAAGCTTTTCTGCGATATAGGTATATAAAATTACAGTTAGATGCAGAGTTATAGTTATAGCCAATTCTTTTCTTTCTTGGCTAATTTTACTTAGTTAGCATGGTATTCTTACTCTGTTATGATTTATAACATAAAAACATAGAATATATTATTAAACGGTTCTTTACGATTTACATTACGCAAACTAAAACTTCATAATATCACTACCCCATACACTTAAGTTATTTTAGAAAATGTTCTCCCGTACCGCCTCTTCGAGGGGGCCCATGCAATTGGTCCACCTCTTCCGATCCCTGAGTTTGCATAATTGTGATATAAATAATTTTTAACATTTCTTTCATTATGGGGTGTCATAATGAAAGTCATGTTGGAACCAATTCCTATTGATGCACGACTATCTAAATTTAACTTTTCTAACATGTCTTGAAAACCGTTCTCTAAAAAACGTAATTAACGTTCACCGGTCAACGTATCCTGGAAAATGTATGGCCAAGAAAAGTTGAACCAATAATCCTACACGTTTTTCTTCATTTAAAAAATTCATATTTACAATTTTTGTTTAAGCAAGTTGCAATTTTTTGAACATTTAATGAAGAATGTAAAAAGTTTTATGTTTACAAAAAAAAATATATCGTAAAATTTGTAAAACACTCAATTTAGAATAAAATAATCTAAGAATGAAATGATTCTTTTATAAACCTGCATTAAATCAAATGAAAGTAGGTATGTAACTTTTTCTAAATATTAATTAACAGTAATTAGCATTATCGTAAATTATAAAAAATGTACCAACATATCGAAATAATAATTTCTTTGTTAATACGGTTTAAAATTTTTAAAATAACAGGCAAAAATAATCTACAATAAAATAAAAGTTTCGTTTAAATTTCTTAATCAGCTGATCACTATTAAAGATGCAGAAACGCGGGCTGTATTATTACATTACTCTGAGGAAAATAACGAAAATAATCGATATTTTTGACTCCGCCCCGAAAGGTTCACGATTTGTCCTCCAGCTGGCAGCACATTTTGTCTAGCCGGTTGAGCAACTTAAAGAATATATAAACAAGGCTTTAACAAATGCCAGTATCTGAGACGGCTCTACAGAGGCCAGCTCTCCATCCTTGACATCAGCCGTACCAAAGTTCATGGCACGAATGGTCCTCGTCTCGGCGCACTCAGTGATGAGGTGTTCTAGTGTTTCCCCATACTTCCCACAGAATCTGCATTCGCCGTTGTTTCTCAGCTTCAGCCTACTGAGGTGTTCGTTGAGGAGACAGTTGTTAGAAATCCCGTGACAATCCGAAGATTGTTTTTACTTAAATCAAGGAAAACCTTCGATTTTTCTCGGTCGTAGGTTCTGAGGAAATTTTTCGAGTGTCTTAGACCGTTGGAGGACACCCATTCCAAGTTGCGGTTGGAGTCTTCCAGATTCTTCAGTTCCGCTTTCAGTTGGTTTCCGCTTGGAAAACAGAACGGTTCTGGTCCAGTTAGTGGAGAGTCCTGGTCCAGTTAGTGTTTCATAATTTTACCATTTAGATACGTCTTTTCACGATAGTTTGCTTTTTGATTCATCTCAATAGCTGTATTTTTATTGGAGAGATATTTTTATTGCTTTTCAATAAGACAGTAACGATTTACAGGTTTTTCAGCACTGATTTTGAGTCCTCATCAACACATTTGTAAAATAGTGTTCATTGTTTTTGTAATGTCACTGTCATTGAAAAGTCATACTATTATTGTTTATTAACGTTTACTCTAGTAGAGATCATTTTAAGTTCTGAAGTATCGGCTATTCTGTTTTAATTGATCATGGGTGAGATCGACGTTTGGACTTAAAACCATATCACACATATTATAATCTTTGTTTTTTCTTTATTGTTTTTCGTGGTTCCAATTTTCGGAATCGGGCACTAGTTAGGTGACTAGTTTGCGCACATAGCACGCCCACTTATGGTGTCTAAAATTGTGCACAGCGCCGGACCGGCACTGTTATTAGAGAGATATCGGAAAACCGAATAGCGTCATCCAGTATTTACGCGTACCTTATCATGGTTACGATATGCGCGAGTCAATTTTTAATGCAACACCCGCTAATAACGTTACCGCCTGACATAATTTGCGGATCAATTACACCAAGCGCTCTTTCTAAATAACCTCTGATAACGTTTAAAAATTGCTTAATGGGCATGTGCGGGTATTTGACAACCGGAGCCGGCCGGCGAGATCTTTTATTTTAGGTTATGTTTGAATTGTTTTGAATTATTGCTTTAGTTTTATTAGGTAATTTGATATTTAAGTAGCTGGGGGATTAGTTTTAATTAAATAAATATGGCCCAAAATATGGATTCCACTTCTTCCAATACTA